GAGAGAGAGAGAGAGAGAGAGAGAGAGAGAGAGAGAGAGAGAGAGAGAGAGAGAGAGAGAGAGAGAGATATATATATATATATATATATATATATATATATATATATATATATATGCGTATATACTTATATATCTTCTTATTCCTGGCCGAGATATTGCAAACTTCAGGATAAGCACCATCGGCTTTTCCGTTTAGAAATTGGGATAAGAATTTTGGGCCCATGCCGCAAAAAATTTTGTAACCTATGCTACATGGCTTTCATTTTGACACTGAAATAAGATACAAATTTGCTAGGCCACACTATTTCTCTGTGCTTCCAATTTGATGTCAGCCATATGACTCACTGATGCAACTTTGCTGGAAATAATTAGCTGATGACTCAGTCCATGAAATGTATGGCAGATGTGATTCGTTCACGACCCAAACCAGCAGCCTATAACTATATGCAGCCTAATATATGCAGCCTATAACTCATCCCAGAATGTTTGACCTATCAGCGGATTCACAATTCAGCTTGAGTTGAACTCAGGTCTGGCTAGCATGGTTATGTCTGTGTGTGAAATCCTCCATTTTAGTAAATGGCCACCTGGATATGGTGACCACATCAGGAAAACCAGCATTTAGCATGTTGGCAAGCGCTAGCACGCTTGTCTTGCTACGCTAAGTGAAAAATTTAGAAATTTTAATTGTGTTTAATTGTGTTTTGCAGTTTAAATCACGGTTCTGGGTGCCCTGGTTGCCGAAATATCGCGCGAAGTGTGAAAAAGACTCGGCCACGGGCCGCGCGGTGTTGGCGACCTGGGGCGGCTGCCGGCAGGAACGAGCGCATTTCGCCTGCGCTCTGTGCAACACAGTGAAACCTGTTCCATCGGATGAGCGAATGATCGTGGGACGTGGCCGGGGATTTATGACCCTTCCACCAACTGCCAGCATTTTGAATGGTGGCAGCACGCACTGCCGTTGTATTAAACAGCATTGTATTGTATCGAACAGTGAAAAACGGTCTGTAGAGGTCCAATCAATTTTCCTGGCTCGCGCACACGTGACGCTACGATCTATAACACGTGATTGTCCGTTCGATTCCCCATCAATGCATGCTACTCCCGAGTGCGCCCCGTACCCCGGGTGCGGAAATGTGGCACAAAACGCATAGAACTATGACAAAGAGCAAAATCCATCATCCTAAGTAATAGCCATCCATCAGCAAGGTTTTAAATGCCCTTGTCGAGATGTAGCGTAAAATGCAAAAACGGCCGGTAACGGCCGAATCTGTCTTGCTGGCTTGTGCACACTTTACACGCAGCACGTGCGACATAATTCATGCAACATCATTGTCTGTTCCATTTATTATCAACGCATGTCACTTCCCAGTGGCTCCGTGCCCTGAGTGCCGAGATGTGATCGCCTATAGCTTTGACGGTAGCGGCTGACATATCAGGCGCCGGCATCTGACAATTTGTCCTGCAGTTTGCAGCGCAACGGTGCGTTGCACAAACTCGCGATGCGACTGAAAGTGTAGTCGCGTCAATTGTGAATGTTGCGAAACAAAGTCACGCCTGTACGTGCACTACGACCGTTCCACACAGCGCGCCGTCAACCAACATGCCTGAGCCGAGACCGCGCCTACGGACGACCCCCCTGATGCCCAACTCGTCTGATGTGTTCGTGCCAAGCGCACTTGAGTAATCCACGCCTCCTGACGGACCTAATCGCCTCTCAACGCGATAGAAGCCTCACTTCTGGTGTATACGGAGTTCTCACTCTGCATGCCATGCAGTGGGTCGCCACCACGGCTCAACCTGATCTGCAAAACAGATTTAGAATTAAACACGATATTCGTGTACCTGGCCAGGAAGGCTATTTTGGTCTTTTCAACGCGCGTTCTCTCTCATTTCAGTTCCCTTCAAATCCATTCACGACAAACGCGTTGGTTGGGTGATGCTGTATTTCAAATCATCATCTGAAAAAGTGGCAACGCTCGCAGGACCTTCCCCGCTGCAGCAATCAGTGGCAAGTGTCCGTCTCGCGGGCCACACTGCCCGGCCGGCCACGAGACATGGCGACCGGCTGCGTGATTAGGCATTGAGGGCCGTGGAGTCAATAGCAGCAAACGCAGATTTCAAGCGTCGTGCAGTACGTGAAAGACAGATTGCAGAAGTTGATCCGTTTCACTGTTCGTTTTGATACCTGCATGCTGCCGAAATATCGGTGCATCTTTATCTCCATCATCCTCGGTTTTATCTGAGGAATATGACTGATACTTTTCTATGATCTACGTGAATAATATTCTTCGCAAATGCACTTAACACCTTAAATGTGCCCTTCGATACGTCATTGATGGTACATCATGATGATGATGCATCATCGCACCTTGCACAACATTGATTTAGAGCCAATCGACGGCACTTATATCTGAAAATAATGCTCACGAACGCCTGATATGAACGACTCTACCATTATATTTTCATTGGCCTGAATCATCACAGGGCTTATGGAGTGGAACGATTTGAGTGACGTTATAACGTCATGAATGCCGAGGTGACCCTGACATACTCTCCCCGAAATAGTCCCTTCATATTCGCGGACATGTAGTCCCGACAGTAGTCATTTGCTGGTTGGCTCACGCCTATTAGCATATTTGTTGATATGTATTCCGTCACATTTAAGGACTCTGGGTATCGGCATAATTACATACACTAAAGAGACGCAATGATTTTTACATGATGTAATACTCAGTTCGTAGCGAATTGTTCTAATATATTCGCTTTTGCTTTCAGATGGTTGTAACTGGCCGCTCGTCTGCTCCTAGTTCACATCTCTACCGAGGCCTCCAGCAGCGCTCTCAAAAACCTCGTCCATTGCGTGGTCGGCCGCTATGTGTCGGTATGGTCCGCCATCCGACAAAACAGCGGTTACGACTTTGGCTTACGCAACTTGTTCCGGAGCATCGCGCTGCTCCGCGACCTGCAGCAGCACGCTTAGGCCACGGTGCAGCCAGCCCTCCAGCGTAACGGATACTGGGTCCGTCCGGAACAGCTGCTGCTGAACGTGGTGTGGGATGAGAACCGCATGGTTCGCGAATAGGTGATTCTGATCGTCGCGCTGCTCGTGAGCAGCACACCGAGGGTCTTCTTCAGCCAAGGGTCTTCGCCATCTCAGCGGTAAACTGGGAGGCCGTGAGGTACACCGAACTGATTCCCTGGCACGGACCAGTCACACAGCCTCCACTGCGAGATTTCAGCGACTACGAGCTGTGGGACAAAGTGCAGGCACCGCTGGCCTTCTTGCCATATCTGGTTCACACTAGGAGTGCGACGCAGCGCCGCACTACCGAGGACATCTGCTGCTGGAGCTGGAGCTTCGACAATATGTGGAGCCCAGCTACGAAGGTATTTTTGCTACCGCGCGATCTCTGCCAACACGCGTTTTGGGTTTCCAGTCTGTGAGTAGTTGCTGTTTGGGCCGGTGCATCGAATACACGGGCTCGGCAAGGAGCAAGATGTGCATGGGGTCACCCTACCGCCCCCCTCTCTACGCCTGTAGTACAGGCTGCTGAACTTGCTGTATGTATTAAGTCGTACACCAGACAATATATTCTGAGTCATATGTTATACATAGTTTTGTTTGCATCACGTGAGTTGTCGTAGAGAAGTTAAAGTCTAAAGCAATACTAACCAGCATACTCGTAAAACGAGTTCATACTTAACAGCAGATAAAGTTTCCGCCAAATGGCAATCAGTCGGGCAATGTCTGACCCGCATATTAGACCTTAAACCGGGACATTCTTGTACGACGGCTTAAGGAGCACTCGGTGGCATCGTTTCTATACCCAATGGTATTTTGTGTCGCTTGCCGCCCACGGCTTGGCGTTGCCTGCGGCGGCGGGCCGCCCGGCATGGGGTGACGGCAACACCGGGCGTCGGTTTACGGCGATATTTCGATCGACTCGCGCCTCACGAATTTATGTTTTTGAGAAGAGCTTTTCCTATGCCGTGTATTTTTGGGCTCCAGCGCCAAAGAATTTCTTTGTCTCACTTGGTTTTGTTACTGATGACACACCCTAATATATATGATTGAGCCAGAGGTCAGATATTTCATTTTGCAGCCTGCATGAGTCATGAGTTAAGTGACCCAATGTAAGCATGGTCTGAACTGAGTCAAATGAAAAACGGAAATGCTGAGTCACACGCTGAATCGGATTACACAATCTCTGAACCAGTCCGGGGCTGACCAAGACATTTGGGTCAAATCCGTCTGATGCTAACCACTGCATCTGAAGACTAGCACCTCATTGTCCGCACTACTGGATACCAGTCTTTCCCTGCGCCCCGTATTCCAGGTTGTATAAATATAATACCTAGCCGGTAGATACCTCTCTTCTCTAAATTATGTGCAGGAGTTTCTACAGGCACGTTTACTAACCGCTTCCCCACGCTCCCACCACCGGCGGTCCGACCACCAACCGACGGACCCTGCCGCGTCCTAAGAGCAACTCGCATTCAAATAGGAATTATGGTCCAAAATGGTGAAGGTTTCCTTCTCCTATCGGAAGAAAAGAAATTCACGAGGTTCACCTCTGAACAGTCTTACTTCTTCCGTTGAACCTAAGGTTACCGGGTGCTTTGCTTAGTATCTATGCGTACTAAACTCAGCCGACTTTAGTACATATCGGTACTAAACACGGGTCCCTCTTAGCAAGAATACGTACTAAATATTTCTGATGATGTGTTGACAAACGTGAAGTGCACTGCTAAGTTAAGTTCAGACTACTAAATAACATCTTCGGGATGGAAGCGTGAGTTTGGAATATCTCGGTAGGTGTTATCATACATTCTTAGCGTCGCAGGTGCCGGCTTTCATGCTAGTGATGTTTATAACCTGTCATTTTGTTCAATCGTGAGGTGGCGATTCCAGTGCCAGCCGTATTTTTGTTATTCGTACTTCTACATGCGTCCGCCATTGTCGCGACAGATGAGACACGCGGCGCACTTATATTTTACGGTGTCGATGCCGACTCCCCGTCGCTGTTATGCGCGTGGAAACCGGACGAGATGGACAATTATGCGGTTGATGGGTCGCAAATGAGTTGAAGCGGTACGTTACATCGTGCATGGACACGTGGAGTTACGAGAAACTGCTTACGATTGGGGTAAGGATGTTAAGTCTTGCCGTAGAAAGTGCCTGACAAGCCTTAATATTGAGTCAGTTTTCCACAGCCCTTGTGATCGCATTTTGTATAAGAACGTTCTTAGTCCCACATGCTGCTTTCACTGGTCATTGTATGATCATGATAAGTATGGGCTTGTGTCATGGGTATTTCATTTAAAAAGGTGCCTGCACAGGTTTGTCATTAGGTACAACCATTAAATAAAAATGCTAAGCCTGATGGACAAACTGCAAACAGTACAAATGAAAGTGAAAACATTCAGTGTACCAGCAGTATTACAATTTGCATGCTTGAAACAAGGCTGTCAGAGTTTGGTGCATGAGGGCCACCAATTTAGGGCATGAAGAGCCAATATGGTAAGAGGCTATAATATTGCAAAGGTAATTTCTGGCAGCACATGCTCTGAGAGCATGTTGCACATGAAAGTGATGGAAAATTCAGGACAATATGACCTGATCTGATTTGTTGATGGTAATGGGAGCTCAGTACTGTTATGTAGGTGTCCTGCATAGTGCATGTTTTTTACAGACTGACCTTGAGGCCAGGGTTACTAGGGATCAGGTCCATGGAAATAGTTAGGATTTTTGTTTGGCAGGATTTGTGTTTTGGCAATACATTCTCAGGGTTCCAAGTAGATTATTTTAGCAGGGGTGCATTGGCTATCAATGCTGTGTATCACACTAGCTTGTATTTTGATGTATAGCTTATAAGTATTGCAGGGTTTGCACCTCATATATGGCATATATCAACTGATCACTTAGTGACAAATTGCACAGGTAGTCAGTAAAATCATAAGTGCTTGCTTGGTGCACATAATAAAAATAGGGCTCAAAAATGTGACATTCAAGGTTCAGGCATGATGACAACCAGTAAGCATCATCCATGAAAAAGTAGCATTAGAGGAAAGATATGCTCCCACTGTAAGTAGTACATTTTGAGTTCTCTTATCAAAAGTTTCTGTCAAGAAAATATGTGCTTCTTCTACTATCATGAAAGCCATGGGCCCATAACCCCTTCTCTTTCCTGACAACTTTCCATGATTGGGCAATTTGATAGGTTCAGCTTAACTGCCATCTCCTGTTATGTATGTGTAACTATGTCTTTTTTTAAACTCAGTGCAAGAAATTTGTTTGATTTTATTTTCTCTTGTTTTTAAAATCATTTAATTTTTAGCAAAGCTAATTTCCACATGCATGACAAATTTTCACATGATTGGCAACAGCACTGTGACACTATTATTTTCAAACCTGCTGCTGGCAACAGTGGGCCACAGGATTGCATGTTTTTTACATGGTTGATGTTAGGCTCATATTACATGCTAAATATAGCACACTATTACCACACAAACTCATGACTAGACTAGGTTTGTTAAGTTATCTGTTTATCTCTTTTCTACTCTGCATCTTCCATAATCATTGATCATGTCACTTATCACTGCCACACAAATACAACATACTTTTACCACCCAGAATCCACAACTGAGATCACTTGGGTTGGTTCAGCTGAGTTGATTTCTTTTCTTTTCTACATCTTTTAGAATTATGCTGTGTAGAATTACTGCATAACTACAGTCCATTGTGGCACCCCTAAACCAAAACTAAGATCACTTAGGCTGGTTTTGCTAACAGTCAGTTAATTCTTTAAGACATCTTGATTTATTTTGTCATGCAGTATGACTACTTTGTGACTGTGCATCAGGTTGATGTTGGCCACTTGCTACCAGCTGACTTGGCATGCTGTAATGGTGTGGACAGTGTTGTATCTAGGATGCTTACCCAGTGCCATTGCTGATGATCTCAGGCTGTTTGTTCCTTTGCCAATCAATAGCAGATGGATACTCTTTGAATGATATCAACCACATAAAGCTAAATCAACATATTCTGTTTGATAGTTTTATGTGGACATGCTGGTGATGGGTGGCTAACTTGCTACTGCCCCATAGAATAATGGTGTCACCACTGAGCAGAATCTGTTCTGTTGTATGAACAGCCTATTGCACATTTCCAAAAAGTTTTAATCTCCACATGAATGGATGCGGAGATTTGTGCTCCTATGGTAGCCCAGCCTACTCCAGTTTTTGGGAGATGTCTCTGGACCTGTTTGGCAAATCAGTGTAAGATATGTGCTGGTGGAATTTGGAGCATTTTTTTACACTGGACCTGACAATTCAGCACCATTTGTTATCTGGTCAGGCTATGACATTCCCAGAGGTCTATGCACCATGTGTGACATTGTTGTTCCACCATGCTGAGCATTTGGGTCTTGGCATAGTATGCAAGATATTTTGTCTCCAAGGGGTGCCAAATTTATATGTCTAGTTTTGTCTAGTCTAGTGATTTTTCAATGCCTAGCATCTGCATGTAGGCAAGCCTACCTGTTCTGAACTGCAATCATTGCACTGAACTCAGGAAGACAGTGTTATTACAAGAAAATGGTCTTTAGGGAGGGATGAAGGCTGTTGTCAGATGTCAGATGCATTGTCAGATATTGGTGTTATTTTCTTTTAAAAAATATCAGAATGCATGACCAAAAGCCTAAGTGTGGGAAGCCAGGAAAACTATGATTCATGCAGCTGTATTCATCATTGACTATCATATCATATTGACCATATTGGTGCCATGGGTCATTGTAGTTGGCATACCCTAATGCCTGAATCATCATCATCATCATAATTGTCATATCATTGGTCGTGACATCATACCACAATCTTATTGTTGACTGTATGCCTTCTCTTAGCACACAAAATACAGATGGTTTTGAAGAAGCTTGTTTTGTGGCTGATCTGACCCTTGAAGGTAGCATCAATTTGCTTGTTTCATAATTGTGATGAAACTTTTTGCACAGTGCTTTGGGTGGATATTAACAGCTTATCAAGCATACCCTTCAGTTTTCCATGGCTTTCCTCTTCTCAGTTAAGGCTGCAGATTTCTGTGAGGCTTGTTTTTGAAGAGATGACATTGGTGACTGGGCATAATTTAGTTACAGGCATTACAGTAAATCATGCAGGTGATCTGGCTTGGTAATCTCTAAACAATATGTTAGCCTTTACTCAGACTTGTGCTTGTTTCCTTTTCTGCAATTACTTTGTCTTTGGTTCTGCCAATCACTATCCAGTTTGAGCCAATGCCAGTGTGCAGCTCAGGGAGATCTGGCTCAATTTCAGGTGACAACAGTCCATGATCCAAGCTTTTTCCCTGGACTTTAAAAATGCCTGCATGAAATATATGTTTCATGATAAGACCAGCATATGCAGTGATCCATTTGTTGTGCAGTTGTTCATGTACATATGTGCCCCAACATAGACATCTTCAGCACATGTGCACAAAGCAGTTGAGAACCATTGCACTGTGACAGGAGCTATTTTCAGTAACTGTGAAATTGTGAGCATGTAAATTGTGCTCTAAAGGCTCCACCAGCCAGTTGGCTTGTTATCTTGAAGTTGTGTGATCATTAAATGCTAGCCCACTGGATTAGTGGGTCGAAAGGAATCATCCCCACATCACATTGCACTTGTGATAAACTCACATTATCTATAAGTGTCCCATTTTTGTGTGGAGATGGTCCACCACCCAGTGTCCAAGAGAAGAAGGCCCTGACTTTGTTCATACTGGTGTCACCTGACACCATCAGGTGCCACACACTGCTCATGTAGCTGCACCATACCATGTCAGTGGGTTAGTTGGGGGGGGGGGGGGGGGCTGCATGACTCACACAATATGTGATGTGTAGTTCACAATATTTAAGGACAAGCCTTGCCATGGATGCCCTGCTTATCACAAATATTCAGCCACCTAAATATATCTGAAGTTAAATTGCAATAACATGGAGATGTTTTGTATCATCATCTGATGGCCTGGTCTTGTGGCTTGGCTGGTTGCTGGGGAGCAAAGCAGCTATATGTTGCCTGCTGAACTATGCCTATTGTGAGCTCCAGATAGCAATAATAAAGCACTTCTATTGCTGATACAGAGGTGCCCATTGCTGCCCTCTCTGCAATGGATCAATCTTTGTGTGGTGTATTTTAAAGACACTTGGTGGGGTTAAAGCATAGGACAAAGTGATGTGGTGAAGTAATCCCAGAGTCGCAATGGAACCCATAGTGATTTACGAGTGGCAATTGAACCTATTTTGATTTGGAGAAATTGATGTTATGTTAGCTGTTCTCAGCCCCTGGTTTTCTAAGGTGATATAACCTTTTGATTTACTCTCACTACTGCTGGGCATCTGCTAACTTTGAACCACCATGTAAAACTGGCAGTGGACTATTAAGAATCACAGCAGGTTGTCATCCTGCATAGCATGGGTATCACTGGGTCTTGGTGTGAACTGCAGCCCTTGCTGTGAGCTTCATGCTCCAGTGCCTGAGGGCCCATTGTGCATGTGTGTGGCTAGGTGTGGTGTCAAACTGCCCATGTGCATATGGCAACACTGTGTGTAGTAGGCAATAGTAATATGACTGACTACTCACACATTTCCAGATGAATTATTCCAAGCTGATGTAAGACAGGCTGACTCTTCTGTCCTTATTAACCTAAAACACAGATTTTGTTGTGTGGCTGTAGTGCAGATGCTTTAAGAACAGCAAGGGTAACACCTACATATCCTGAATCCTACCAATCCTGAAAAAAATGCTTTTTATTTCCACATTTATACCTAACCTTGTGATGACCGATTTTGAGGTCATTGTGATGGCATTTGTACTTGCCAGTGGTGCTCACCAAAGACTAATCTCACTGCCACACACTGTCTCACTTTTATTCTATGCAAGATCTATTTAAGTCAACCCTGTAGCATAGTCATAGGGCACGTGATTCATGACTAATCACTTTGAGGCTGTGTCTTAACTGCTGACTATTCTCTCTTTGGCTAGGATGCTGCATTGGGTGTGAAAAGTTGTTATGCTAATGAGAACAGTACTGTGGTGCATGGTGAAGTTTAACTGTTGACTAGATTTAAATACTATGCTCTTTCCTACCCATCAGCTGCAATTGTTTGTTCCCTCTGGGGTAACCACGACCTTGTCGTTTTCAGATGCATCTGTAACCATCCTCACCAACAGTGCTGAATGATGAGCAGCTCCAGCCAGGTACCAGGGAGTTATGCTCAAGTTTCCAGTCAAAATGGCAGGTAAGCACACAGATTATTGCGTGACTATCTGCAGTCAGAGTATAATGTAAGTCATCAAAGTTTCATCCACATCAAGGGGATCATCAGGCACAGGGCATCACATCAGGTCATTGTGTGCAATACTCTAGGTACATAGTGGTACACACTGAGGCTGATTTGGTGCACTCCTCGTAGCATTGATGTAACACTGAACCGCACGAGCTGAGCAGATCCGGTGAGCAGTGTACCGAAACACCTGTGGTGCGTGAGGGACTGGGAGCCACTGGAGCCTCCAAGGACGACCTGTGTCTGTGGCAGGCTCGTGTCGGCGGTGGCGGCCGCCCCGGGGGCCGACGGCTGCGCGGCGTCTGCGACGGCCGAGCGCTGCCCGCCGCCGCAGCTGGTCAAGACCGTCCGGCCGGCGGCCCCGGGGTCCCGGGCTGGGGTGCAGCCGGGCTCGCCGGTCCTGGTGCGGGGCGCCTCGCATGACATCCGCACGTACGGCCGGCCGACGCCGAGGAGCCAGCCGCCGTCAGAGCAGCGGCAGCAGTATCAGCAACAGCAGCTACAGCCACAGTCACAGCAGCAGCAACAGCAGCAGCAGCATCAGCAACCACAACTGCGGCCGCAACTGCAGGCACAACCACACCTAAGTTCAACAAATGCAGAACATTTGCAGCCTCAAACACAAGCACAGCAGCAATACCAACAGGAGTCGTTGCAGCAGGAGCAGGAGCAATTGCAAGCACAGCCACAAACACAGTCACAACTCCAGCCACAGCACTTGCCACAGCCGAAGCCACAACAGCAACAGCTACAACAGCCACAGCCACAGCCACAGCAGTCACAGAAACAACAGCCGTTATGCAAACAGCAGGTGCGTCCCGTCCGCTCCGTCACTCAGCTACCACAGCACCAGCAGGTGCGTCAGCAACAACAGCTGCAGCAACGACAGGTACAGCTGCAGCGACGACCAGCGCAGCTGTCACAGCACCAGCCACCACATCCTCTGCAGCAGCAGCAGCAGCAACAGCAGCCAACATCGTCGCCGCCGCCACAGCAGCCGAACCAGCAGCAACAAATGTCAGCTGTAGCAGCCGTAACTCAACAATTGAAGCAGCAGCAGACGTCGGTGGTTAGGTCAGTGGCTCAACAGCAGCAGCAGCACCAGCAGCAGCAATCATTACAAGCTGTACCAAACAGCACCACTTCCTCGCAGCATCAGCTGGCGTCACCGTTGCGGACTGCTGCCCAGCATCAGCAGCAGCAGCAGCAGCAGCAACAACAGCATGTGGTATCCGTGCAAGGTGACGAGCAGCGTCAGCCGCATTCGACCGTGCGGTACGTCATGTCCGTACAGACGGCACAGCAGCAGCCGAGCGCGGAGCCGGCGCAGGCAGCGGAGCACCAGCCGGGGCACATGGTGCCGGTGGAGGCCGCCCAGTACCACCAGCCGCAGCTGGTGTCGACGACGGCCAGCCAGCACCAGGTGTACCGGCTGCTGGACGGCCCGCTGGCGCTGCCGGTGCAGACGCTGATGCAGCCGGCGCGTCAACAATACGCGCTGGTGCAGACGGACCAGCGCGTGGCGCCGCGCCAGTACAGCCTGGTGGCGGCGCAGCAGGCTGTGCGGCTGATCAACGGCCGGCTGGAGTCGGGCGGCGCCGGCCTGCAGCCGTTCGTGGCGTCCGAGGTGGCCGCCGGCCCCGAGTCGGGCCGCGTCTACATGGTCTGCAACGCGTCGGCCGCCGACGCTGGTGTGCACGGGTGAGACGACCGGCCGGCCGCCAGGCCTGTGTGTGGGCCTGCGCCCCACGGCTCGTAGCAGTGGCAGTAACAGTGATTGGGTGGGGCTGCTGCGCTGGCAGCTGTTTCGCCGGCGTGTTTATTTTATTGTATTATTCACAACAATAGCCATGAATTCGATGATCGATTTCGATTTTGATGGTCGATTCCGCATAATAAAGAGGATCACAAAAAGCGCAATCAAAACACCATTGCAAAACTCAGTGCCGTGTCCTGTCGTGTCGTTTGGTCCGTGTGTCTACGCTCAGCGGCTTTTGATGTGTCGTGTCGTGTCTTGTGACGTGTCGCGTCATGTGTCGTTTGGTCCGTGCGTCTGCGCCCGTCGGCTGCTGATGTATCGTGTCGTGTCTTGTGACGTGTCGTGTCATGTGTCGTTTGGTCCGTGCGTCTGCGCCCGTCGGCTGCTGATGTGTTGGCCTGCCCGTGTTGTCGTGTGTGAGGTTCTGTATCAGCACCGGCTCGTGCCCGCAGGGTGGTCAACCCCGGCCCGTGCGCGGCGGCGCCGCGACGGCCGGCGCGCGGCGGCGGGCCCGGGCCGACGCGCGGCCGCGGCCGGCCCCGCGGCGCGCGCGCCGGCCCGGCCGACGCCGTGCTGCAGCGGCCGGCGCTGCTCGAGGAGCCGGCCGCTACCGCCGCCGCCTCGTTCGACTTCAACCAGATTCCGATCGAGTTCGAGGAGCCGGCGGTGACGGCGGCGCGTTCGGCGGCCGACGCGGCGCGGCCAGCGTCGGCGCCGGGCCAGGCGGCCGGCGCGCCGCCGCCGCCGGCCGGGGCGGAGCCCAGCTGCGCCAAGAGGCGGTACTCGCTGGAGCAGTACTGGGAGAAGAGGAGACAGGTGAGCGACGGCGGCCGGCGCTGCTGACCAAGTTGGGCGGATCCTGTGCACCCACGAGCATATTCCTGGTGGCGAGGATCCGCAACACGCAGAAAGGAGACTCCTTTCTCGTGGCGCATCCACGTACACCGTACGTTGGGTGACATCCGCGCCGGTCATCAGCGCTCTGTCAACACTGAACGTCTTGTGATGTCAGCATTTGTGCTCCAGGGTATGCGGCCCTTGTGCTCCAGGGTAAGGGTATGCGGAGCGCAGAGTTAATGATCCAATCCACGCAATCGGCGAGTCGGCGCATGGTGTTGATGGGTCTGCGGCGGGCGCCTCTGTGATGACGTGGAGCGGTCGGCGTCGGAGCGCGCGCTCGCTGACTGGTGTGCCCCTGACGGTGTGCCCTGCAGGTGGGTACCGGCGAGCCGCCGGTGCTGAGCAGCAGAGGTCCGCTGCTGCATCCAGCGCGCTCCAGCGTCCAGTCGCCCATCCTCTGCGGCCAGCTGCAGGCTGGCCCGCTGGCTGCCGTCATAGACAAGTGGGTGGCGGAGGGGAGCGGGCCGTGGGCCGGGTCGGAGGTATGTGGCCAACAGTCCGACGAGAAAAACACTTCCGGAGAACGGGCGCCGGCCACCGACGACACAGGTCTTGCGAGGACTGGCCAGTGTGAACATGCATGTGCGTAAGAAAGCCAGCTTTTTGCGTTGGGAAGGGGGTGGGAGCTGGAATGCTGGGGTCGTTGCTGATTAACGAGACGTCCACGTCTAGCCACTACTTCTGTCGGGGCAATGCGTTGAGTCATTGGTTGCACCGTATTTTCGCGGAGTCGTCCAAAGCTGGCGGCGTTGCTCGACATCTAACTTAGCATCCGCAAAAAAAGACGCCGGGACGAGGAAAGGCCCACTCAGCACAAGTATAGTAGACGAGCTCGCAGTGGAATCATAATACGCGACACTTGTGCCGGCATGTGGCTGGGGACCCAGCCGGCGCGGCCTGAGCGGCGCCGTTCTCATAGATACTGCCGACGTGCCCAGTTGACGGACGGACGGGCGGGAGTGGCGAAGCAGACTGGGATCATGTGTTGCATTTGGGTCGACTTTTGGGCCAGCTAGGATGCCTAGGAATGCCGTGCACGCGGTAAATGTCCGGCCATGTGGGTATGGGAGTTTGACGCCTGCGGCTAGCGACTATCGCCTGCCACTGTAACTGCCAGAATGGCGTGGGAAGCTGCGGTGCGCGTCACGCTGCCGCCTGAAGTCACCCGGCCGTCTGTCCACCCGTGCAGGACCCTGCCGCACAAGACGGCAGCGGAGCCAGGCCGGCCGTCGTCCGGCGGCGGCGGCGAGCGGCCACCCGAGGTACGTGCGTCGGCTCCGGCTGTGCACCGGACCCCGCGGGCGGGGCCCGGCCGTGCCTGCAGTGCCCGTCGCTCTATCGGGACGCGCCGTTCGAACACGTGCTGGCTGACGCCCGGAATCGGCCGGCCGTAGTGCTAGAGGCGGCCGCGTATTGCTGCGAGCCGCCGTCAGCTGATGGGCTTTGCGCGGCCTCGAGGGAAGGAGCTGGCGCTGTCGACGCGGGGGTCGGGCCGGCGTTGCGCGTGGTGACGTCACTCTGACGTCACGCCGTACCGCCAGACGTACTCGCCGCGCCGGGTGGCCGGCAAGCTGGCCATCTGCGTCAACTGCGGCCACTCGTCGCACGACTTCAACCGCTGCGACTTCTGCAAGAAACCGCTGCCGGCCAACGTCAAGGTGCTGGACTCTGTGCAGTCGCTGGCGGCGCGCAAGGACGCCGCCGTGCAGATGGCGCAGGCGGCTGTGGCGCTCAGTACGGTGAGTGGCCGCCAGGGGCGCTGCTGTCGTCGCCGGTGCAGCCGAGTCGGAGATGGCCGATCGGCGGTGTCGATCGGCGATCTCCGACTCTCGGCTCTCAGGGTCGGTGTCCACATCCGACCGGCCGCTGCTTGCTTTGTTTGCGAGCTGTGAGTCTCAGCAGCCAAACGCACTGCAGCTGATGCAGAGATGCACGCTTCATGTCGTTCTCTTAGCTATCTTGTTCACGATTGTCTTCGAAAAGTGTGTGTGCCCCCAGTTTCGTTGCATGCATATGTTGCGGTAGACGGACTCGGGGAGGGTTCATGCGGCGACCCTTAATTAGCTGATTGTAGTTAGTTAGTGGATGGCTGTAGTCTTATGTAGTCATTCCACATAGCTGATAGCGTGAGCCTGACCGCTTTTGCCTCACGCACTGCTTACGTCAGTTGACGCTTAGTGGGTTATCGTCAGCCTGCTTTACCGCTCGTGCCACTGCAGGCTGCATGCCACCTATGCTTATGCCCCGACCCAGCGCGCCGCTGTCGCTCACGATGCACTTGGAGACCTGGCCTGACCTGTGCTGGCCTCACCTGACCTGAGCTGGCCTGACCTGTGCTGGCCTCACCTGAACTGAGCTGGCCTGACCAGAGCTGGCTTGAGCTGCCCTGACTTGACCTGGCCTGACCTGAGATGACGGTGTGTCGACAGTACCAGCGCGTGGTCACGCCAGTCCGGCACCGGCCGCCTCACAAGCACTTGCCCCGGCCGCGCAGGCCGCGGCGTCGGCTCAACGAGGAGCCCGGTGAGTGTGCGGCCGCCAACCAAAGTAGTTGTTTGTTCGTGCTTGCGTTGTCACGTTAGTGTTTTGTTCAACATTTGGGACCTCGTCGCAATGGGTGACATCCCCCCTGACTTGTATGGTTTTGTTCACGGTTTGCTCCCGTGGTGTGCGTTACGCCAGGGTTAGTCGAGGTTCCGCAGCATGTCCGGCGGCCTGTCGGTCCTCCGAGGGACTGACTGGGCATGGTCATCAATCCCGGTGGCCAGTCCACCAGTTAGGGCGCCGAGTTTTATCCGAGACGTCGCCTGCCCGCTGCGTGTCTGACGGCGTCTATCAGCCGTCCCTGACAGCACCTCCTCCGCCAGAATGCCTGACCATCTCGTCGGATGAGGAGGACCTGGTGCGGGCGCGGCCGCCCACCTCGGCAGCCGGGCCACAGCCGCCGGCGCCGACCACCGCGCCCCCTGACGACCTGCTGGCGGGCGGCGACGGCAGCCTCAGCGGCGACGAGCTGGCCACCCGCGGCGTGCTAGGTCAGCACGTGCCGCGCTCCTCCGGGAGCTGGGGGCCGCCGGGGGTCGAGCGGGCGGAGGGCCACCAGTGGTAGGATGTGATCTTCGGGCGCTGATATGCAGTAGATGGTGATGTATGAGGACATGGTAGAAACTGCGCGACTTCGCTATTTTCGAAGTTGATGTTGAGGTTTGGTAACTGCGCCAAGCAGCTAGGGCGACCGTCCCTGTCCCTTGCTAGTTGCTTGGCTTACCCAGTGCTGGCCCTGTCCTGCCATGTCTCCGCCGTTGGCACCGTGCCGCTGCCTCTGAGGGTGGCTCCTACCCTGCCCTGACGCTGGCTTGCCTAACGTGCGTGACTGACCGCGCCGTCCGTGCTGTCCCTCCCTGCCCTGCCCTGACGCTGGCCTGCCTAACGTGCGTGACTGATCGCGCCGTCCGTGCTGTCCCTCCCTGCCCTGTCCTGACGCTGGCCTGCCTAACGTGCGTGACTGACCGCGCCGTCCGTGCTGTTCCTCCCTGCCCTGCCCTGACGCTGACCTGCCTAACGTGCGTGACTGACCGCGCCGTCCGTGCTGTCCCTCCCTGCCCTGCCCTGACGCTGACCTGCCTAACGTGCGTGACTGACCTCGCCGTCCGTGCTGTCCCTCCCTGCCCTGCTCTGACGCGTTTCGGCGCGCTGGCGCAGGCGGCGGCAAGGCGGCGGCCGACGCGGACGCCGACTGGGAGCGCGACATCCAGGGCGTGGCGGACGGCTCGCTGGGTGGCGCCTACCTCTGGGAGCGCGTGCGTGCACTGCGCATCGGCTCATATCGGCCGCCGGCCGACGAGCCGGTGCTGTTCAGCTCGCAGGGCACGCGGCTGCGCGTGCCGTCGGCGGCGCCGCCGCACCGCGCCGTGGCTCTGACGGTGCCGCCCGGCCGCGTGGTCAAGGCGCTGGCGCACTTTGGCTGCCAGCTGATGGTGGTGTTCGTGCACCTGACGCCGGCGTCGGGCGCGCCCGTGCGCCGCGTGCTCGAGATGACCGAGCCCAGCGACGCTTGGTTCGACCCCGGCGCAGGCCAGGAGATGCACAAGCGCATCATAATCCACTTCCAGGTGAGGCCGCGACGAGACCCCATCCGACGCGGGAGATGGGGGTCGTCAAGGGTCGGCGTGTTCGGTCTGGTTGGGGCTGTAGACGCTGGCGGCCCGGCACGCCCCGGCCATACCCGTGTGCTGAAGGCCTTCTATGACACAGACGATCTCAAAGGTCCCTCGTAAAAAGGCTGACATTTGCTGACCGCGGCCTGCCCTGCGGCAGAAGTGACCTCCGCCTGGCATGGCACCACCTGCCCCAAGTGGTCGCCACCACTACACTGTCCTGGCCTGGCTGTGCTGACCTCGGCCCATCGGGTATGACCCCTGTTCGCTGACCTCGGCCGCCCCGCCAGGACGACCTGTCCGAGGAATCGCAGCTCACGCTGATGGACGTGTTGCGCTCCTCGCTGGGCAAGGAACGCGTGGAGGAGATTTCTCAGGACGAGGCCAACAGGATCCTGGTGATGGCGGCGCCGCCGCAGCTGGCCAGCACGCTGCAGGCGCAGCAGCGGCACGCCGTGCAGACGTGAGTGACGCGCCCAGCCGGTGCGCTCCATGACGCTCTGGCAGCCACGCGCTTGATAGCTACATGAAATTGTGGCACTTCATTCCCTACAAGCTGTCAGAATGAGGAAATAGCCTGAAATTGGCTGTGTCCGAATCAAATGTCAGCATGACACACGGCTGCCTGTATTTCGTTGGAAGAGCGCATCACGCAGTGGACAGCTGAACGTCCGTCGCTGCTGTGTCGTCATTCACGGCTCTTGCCCTCGCTCCTGCTCCAGCGTCACTCCGTTTAACGGCGTCCCATTAACTGGAAGACGCCTGGCTTACCTGAAGGTTTACGTGGCCAGACGTCACGGGCCTCACTGGCCCGTCGGGCTCGGGGCGAGCCGGCCCGCGCAGCTCAGACGACCCCCTCGCCGGCATGTGAGGCCCGCCGCCTGACCGACGCGTGCGCGGCCGCAGGATCCTGCACTTCCCGCCGCCGCCGGCGTCCGGCGCCATCGCCGTCAACACCGACGACTACTGCTGCCTCGAGGAGGAACAGTTCCTCAACGACGTCATCATCGACTTCTACCTGAAGTGAGCGCGCCGGTCGGCCGGGCCCGCGCGGCGCCGGGGGCGCGGGAGGTGCTGCTGTGTTGCCGGGGATGCCGGGGTGCCGGCGGTGCAGCGCCGCTCGCGAGCGAAGGCGAGGCGTGGCGAGGCGCTCGGCGGCGGTTTTACTGTGTTGCTGCAGCACAGTGATGCGATGCTGCACTGCTGGGTAGATGGAGGCCGTCAACAGTCAGATGGTGGCGCTCGGCGGCGGTTTGGCTGTGTTGCTGCAGCACAGTGATGCGATGCTGCACTGCTGGGTAGATGGAGGCCGTCAACAGTCAGATGGTGGCGCTCGGCGGCGGTTTGGCTGTGTTGCTGCAGCACAGTGATGCGATGCTGCACTGCTGGGTAGATGGAGGCCGTCAACAGTCAGATGGTGGCGCTCGGCGGCGGTTTGGCTGCGTTGCTGCAGCACAGCGATGCGATGCTGCACTGCTGGCTAGATGGAGGCCGTCAACAGTCAGATAGTGGCGCTCGGCGGCGGTTTGGCTGTGTTGCTGCAGCACAGTGCATCTGGAGGCAGTCAACAGTCACATAGTGGCATGTTCAAACTCAGGGCTGAACCCTCCTCAGCTTGGGTTGCATTCGCCCCGCTGATTTCCCTGTGCCCCCCCCCCCCCCCCCCCCCCTGTAGCATGGATGCGACGTGTTTGTATGCTTCGTCGCAAACACTTCTATTCATATACAAAAAAACGACCAGAGCGTAACAGAGCCACCAGTGCGGACAGACCAGAGCGTATCAGAGCCACCAGTGCCGACAGCGGTGCTCGGCGCGAGCGTTTGTGCGGCCTCCGTCGCCGTCGCCCGCTTGCCCGTGACGCCCCCTCCCCTCCCCTGGCCGGCAGGTACCTGGTGTCGTCGCGTCTGGCCGAGCCGGACCGGCGGCGGACGCACGTCTTCAGCTCGTTCTTCTACAAGCGACTGACGACACGGCCTAGCAGCCGCCACGGCCGGCGGCCGGCCGAGGACAGCCTCCGCCTTTCGGCCGCGCAGAAGCGGCACGCACGCGTCAAGGGCTGGACCAAGAACGTCGACATCTTCGACATGGACTTCCTCATCGTGCCCATCAACGAGCAGTGAGTGGCACCGGCCGGCCGGCGGGGCCTGGCTGAAGGGGGTGGGCCGGTCGCGAAAGGTCACGAGCATTGCGAATTGCGGACGGGGTGCTCACCAGTGAAGGAAGAGCCAAGAGGGAACGCTGGAAGCTGACATGTGAGGAATTGGACAAGATGCTAGTGCTTTTTTGTATTGCAACATATGACAGTTTATGACGCCTTTAAGTATCAGATATGCTCTTATCAAGAACAAGTGGTGCTCACGTCAAAATGCAGTTGTCGGTATTTGCTGTGCTTATCAGGCGCGCTGTGGCTGGCCCTGAATGACCGGACTGTGGCGCGGCTCCGAAACCTGACCCGCCACCAGCTCGGCAGTCTGCAGTAGCGTAACTGTGTACGTGCCGGGGAAGGCGTGTGCCGTCCGGGGCTGGCTGGCGACCTGTGTGTGTCACGTCCATGGTGCCGTGTGGACGACGTCCGTAACGGCGCCCGTCGCTTCCTACCGACGCCGACGAGGTTGGCAGTCCGCTAACGGCGCTGACTGGCGACCTGTGTGTGTCACGTCCATGGTGCCTGTGGACGACGTCCGTAACAGCGTCCGTCGCCTCCTGCCGACGCCGACGAGGCTGGCAGTCCGCTGACTGCGTCTGGGCCCGGCAGCTCGCACTGGTTCCTGGCCATCATCTGTTTCCCGGGCCTGGAGGGGTACCGGCGCCTCAGCGACGACCAGCCGTGCGAGGCGCCGCAGCCGAGGAGGGCGCGCCGGCCCTCCGCCGCCGCCGCTGCCCCCGCCGCCGCCGCCGCCGCCGCCGCCGCCGCCGCCGCCGCCGCCGCCGCCGCCGCCGCCCGCCGCCCCCGCCGCCGTCGTCCCCGCTCCGGGTGAGTAGCCTCTCGTCGCACTTGGGCTCTCGCACCGGCCACCTCCTTAGCCAGGTGTCGGCGACAGCTGTGTCATGGTCCAGATGGGCGCAATCGCTGCCTTCTGTGCTAACTCATGGTGCATAGTCGTCAGTGCTCCACGCTTCCTAAGTCCGCGCTGCTCCATCAGGCTTCTGTAACTGTGTGTGCCTTGAAGCCGGTATGGTTCGAGGCCAGCGGGGGGCCTCACGTTTTGGCAACGTGTATGCAATCCTGGGAGCTTTCCTGACCCTCCAGGCTGCTTCCCAGCCTCGTTATGGCAAGATGAGGGCCAGCCGGCGCGGTACGTGCGGCCCCGCACGGCCGTTAGCGGTAGGCCCGCTCAGCAGCGCTGCGCCCGCCCGTTTCAGCGCCGGTGCCGACGCAGGTCGGCAACACGCTGATTGTGCCGTTGCCGGCCGAGCCGCTGGCCGAGCAGTTGGACGACAGCGACCGCGACGAGGCCGAGCCCGACGACGAGGAGCTGGACGCCGAACTGGACGAGCCGTGTGAACCGGCGGCGGCCGCGGACGAGCCGGCGCCTGCCGACACCGACGCCTACGACTGCGAGCTAGAGGCGCCCATCCCGGCCGTCTGCACCAAGGACGTGCCCGAGACGGCCATTAAGCAGTGAGTGGCCGGCGCGGCGGCAGACAGCGCGGGCCTAACCATGGTTTGGACTGTAGACTCCGACTCGAACGGTGTAGGAGTCGGCCTCGCTTCTTGCGACCCTGGCCAGTCTCGACTTGTGCCAGGAACAGGATAGGGGCGCCGACCTGGCCCGCCTGGACAGTCCCGTGTTAGGGCACGTGACAGTTTCCGTCGTGCTCGCGTGATGACCTGACCTGACCTGACCGGGGGCGCGTCACCGCAGACCTTGCGTGCTCATCTTCGACTCGCTGGCGGGCGCCAGTCGATCGCGTGTGGTGGCGACGCTGCGCGACTACCTGCGCGTCGAGTACAGCGCCCGGAAGGCGGCCGACCGGCCCTTCAGCAAGGACACGATGAAGGCGTGCTGCGCCAAGGTGCCGCAGCAGACCAACTTCAGCGACTGCGGCGTCTACGTGCTGCAGTACGTCGAAAGCTTCTTCCAGGTGAGCAGCGGCTGGCTTTGCGCTGAGCTGCGTGTCTGGGCTGTGCGGGTACTGGCGAGTTTTTGTGATGCGGCATAGTGGACGCCGAAGCTGTGATGTTTTCTGGCGAACCTGTAATGGACCTCCTGGGGTGATGTGCTTATTTCCGCGGTCGCGCGTCACTAGTTCCTTGCGTGCTGCGTTCTGGCGTCACACAAGCGCAAGGACGTCAACCTCCGGGGTCCACGGGCCGTTGCGGGAGATGAGTAGTGGTCCCGTGCGTCGGACACGGGCCGGTGCACCGTAGTCATTTCCCGCGCGCCCGAGCCGACTCGCCCCGCCTGGCCCCGCAGAACCCGGTGCTGGACTTCCACGTGCCGCTGCTGCCGCTGCAGCACTGGTTCCCGCTTGCGCGCCTGCGGCGCAAGCGGGAGCAGCTGGCGCGCCTCATCGAGCGGTTGTCGCGGCGCCAGAACCCCGAGCGCACCCTGTCGCTGCCGCGCCTGCTCTTCAACTCGGCCGCGCCGCCGCCGACGGCCGACGGCACGCCGCCGCGGCCGGACGGCAAGCCAGCCGGCCGGCCGCCGCCGGGCGCCCGCTCGGGTGGGCTCACTCCGCGCCAGGTGGTGGTGGCCCGGCCGGCCGCCGGTGCCAAGCAGGTGGCGATGGCGCCGCGGCTGGCCGGCCACGAGCCGCCGCCGACCGCCAAGAAGGTGCTGATGCTGACGCCTGCGCAGCAAGGGACCGCGACCGGCAAGCCGGTGTACATGACATTGCCGCGGCAGGCGGGCGCCGGTCAGCGGCAGGCGGTAGTGGCGCACCGGCAGGCGGCGCCCGTCGGCAGGGCCGTGGTGGCCGCGCAGATGCAGGTGGTCACCTCGCCCTGCCGCCCCGGTGGCCTCAACAAACAGACGATTACGGTCGTGCCGGCCGCTCGGACCGCGGTGTCGGCCGCGGCGCGGCCCGCGTCGCCGAACGCGAAACGTGTCGTGCCCGTGAAACAGCTACCGCAAGCCGTTGGACCGACGTCGGCTGCGTCCAGCCCTGCGTCGGCGGCGCCCAAGCTGGCGGCTGGCGCTTCAAACGCCTCGTCGCCGGCCCACAAACCAGTGTCGGCTGCGTCCAAGGCCGCATCGCCGATGCCGAATCTCGTGATGGCTGGTGTGAGGCCCTCGCCGGTGCACCCAAATGTGTCGACTCCCTCCAGTGCGTCAGCGCGCGGGCGGGTGTTGGCCGTTTGCAAGCCAGGGTCACCAGGCGCCAAAGACGCGTTGAATGCGTCCGACTCGGCGTCTTCGAAGCGTGGGCAGACGCCGACGCCACCTCAGTCACCAGCTTCCAGACAGACGCGGATAGTGCCAGCACAGTCTTGTTCGGGCGCCAGACCGACGGCTTCCCCGGGCGCAGCACGTGGGCCGCGTCCGCAACCCCTGGTCAGTGGAACAGGGGCGCCGGGCCGTGCCAGCCCGGCCGCCGTCGGCGCGCCGCCAAAGACGTCCGTGCCGCTGCCGGCCGGCCGGCTCGACTCGCCGCGGCCCGCACTGGCGGCGCTCGCCGCGCAGTACGCCTCTGACTCGGACGAACGGGACGAGGGGCCGGCCGCCGACGAGCGAGACGAGGGGCCGGCCGCCGACGAGCGGGACGAGGCGCCAGCCGCGGCCGGATGCGGCGCGCCAGCCGGCGAGGCGTCCGAGGTGCTGTCCGGCCTGGGGGCGCCGGACGGCCGGCCGGCGACGGGCGGCGAGGCGCCTGATGCGTCGGCGCGGCCGCCGCGCCACGGCCGGCGGGACTACGCCCGGATGATAGGCTGCAAGCGCCGGACGCCGGTCCCCAAAGACGCCGTCAAGCCAAAGGCGGCCCGCAAGAGCTGAGGCGGCGTCGCGCGCGGCCGCCGGGCGCGCTGCCCTCCTGTCTTCGATGCAGCGCGCCGCAGCGATGTAACCCGCGTGCTAGTATTCGTAGCCGGCGCTGGTTTGGCTGGGTTCACTCTGGGATCAAGCGCTGGCGCGCGCGTAGCGTCCGGCAGAGACGCCAACGCGTTGTGATACCATTTGCGTGTACATATGTTCTGAACAGTGCTTTTGTGCAGTGTTAATTGATGCGACCTCGGCACTTCACGTTTTGAGATATTGTTACCAGCTGACAATAAACTGAAGCTGTACAGCTGCCTCCTGATCAAATCGTTGGGAGGGTGGTGCCCGATTCCTGCCGTGTTGGAGTTCAGCAGCCTCCGCGGGACACTGAATGTCAAGCCCCCTGCAACCCCCTATTGCAACGCAAAACATCGATATAATAACGGATAACGGCAGTCCCGGCGATTCGTCAATCAGCCCGTCTCACGCCATGAGGGGATCGCCGCACTAATGCACGCGCCCGGACTGCATCAAGGTCTGATGGGGGCAGAACACAGGAGAATCGCACCCCACGGCGCGGTCGTCCGCAGCACCAAAGCCTGTCCACCGGCAGTGCGCTGTAAATGTTGCGTATCAACAGCGCCCAGTGCAATAAATGGTAATACGCTTTCCTATGACGTTGATCTTTCTACGTCACTTGCCTTCACTGAGGGGCTGATCCAGGTGGATTATTCATCACGCTATCCTTGTGTTTCATCGCATCCCTCGGTGATCCTGGGCGTGGAAATTACAGCTGTTGTCGTCGCAGAAAGCGCGTGCATCGCGTTCAGGACTGGTTTATTTTCACTTGTACATGCCGCTTCATTGCGATTATTACACAATACCCGTCCCGAAAGGCCACCGACACGACCACCGCATCCTGACCGATGGTCCCGATATCACAGCGCTGTAAATCAATAAAATCACACAGACACCTCATCATTCGCGGTGCCTACTACAGTACAAAATCTGCCTCAGATATACAGTGGAATATCCGGCTTCCCGCCGAATGACTGCTAATGGCGATCCAGGCCCGACCAACCCACAGAATATCCGCCAGGTTACTGACCAATCAGCAAAAGGGCCTGCTGACGTACACATACATATTACGCAACACGGCCAACCGCACCTTCTGTCCGTGCCTAGTTCAGTTAAGCTCATGAAATGATTCGACATCACCCGCTTTTCGTCGGGAGCACACCACACGTCACAGTAAGCCTGTGATCGTCTATATTTACCGCGGAGCCCGATGGCACGATATTGGCACTTTCGAACATGGCAGCACTTCTAGTGGTACCCTCCAGCATGACATTTCTTCCGGTCACAGCGATACAACAGGCCAGGTGAACGTCACGCGACAAACTTGGCGATGCTCACGTGTTGTCTATCTCCTAGGACTGAATAAGTTCCAACAGATAGGCGACTTATGCAATTTGCGACCAGAATCTTTGTCGCACTCCAGAAACCTTTCCGGCCACTGTTTTCGAACGAACGTCCTTGTCATACCGTAGAGTTGCTCCTAAGCAGCACAATAACTATGGCGCTGGCGCGGACACAATCGAGAACGAAATGGGGTCCAACGCATCTTCACCGCGATCAGGGAGGTAATACCACGATTCCATGTTTGAACGTAAGCAACTCAAGAATTTAAAAAAAAAACACTGATGATGACAATTTCACTTGCCCAGCTTAGCATGAATCTTCCTGAACACGAATCCCCTCTGTACCTAAACACTGCGACCCCCAGTGGCCCAGCGTGAGGCGCTCCCAGTGAGACGCTCCCACCCGTCACACGCCTCGAAGCTCGTTCCTCCCCGTCACCGCCGGCTTCCTCGAAGCTCGTTCTTCCCCGTCACCGCCGGCTTCCGAGACCGGCTGCTCACATGAACAGCTGCTGCTTACGCGCGTGCGCCCCCTGGGCGTCGAGTGCCGGCCGGTACTTGCGGTACATCCTCGGCACCACCTCGGCCGTCTCGCCTGTCAGGCAGCAGACTGGGTCAGTCGGCCCTGGCGCCGGCAGCGACCAGGTTACACCGCGGCGTGGAGTCATAGCCCGCCACGCGGCACGCAGCAAACAAGATTCTGTTGATGCCCTGGGGGAGCACCGTCTTATTTTCTTGACAGTGCAAAACCACCAGCACCTCTCCCTTCCAATGGTATCATTTATCAATACAACGAATATGTGAGGGGGGAGCATAGAGCTCGTGCACAGCAGCGACTTCTGCAGGACGTACCGACGGGCTCGTGCGAGTACGTGGCGTTGGTGAAGGTGAAAGGCTGCTCCACCTGGGAGAAGTAGTGCGAGTCCAGCTCAGTCTGGTTGTACGGCAGGGACTTGTCGAGTCGCTCTTCCAGGTAGCTGAAGCAGGGACGGGACACACCAGTCACGGCACAGGCACCGCGACAGTGGAGCTCAGCCTCGCAGATGGCGCAGATCCCCGGCTGGGATGAGAGGAGATGCAGAAGACACGTGCTCTGTCCCAGGGGGCTGACGAACAACCGGAGACAACCGGGGACGCCCCGTACCCCCGGATGGACACCTGGGGGCGCCCCGTACCCCCGGATGGACACCTCGGGACGCTCCGTGCTCCCGGATGGACACCTGGGGACGCCCTGTATCCCCTAATGGACACCTGGGACACCATGACATGGTCAGCCCCGGGGGGGGGGGGGGGGGGGGAGGGGGACAGCGCGACAGGGCACAGGGTAGCCGGGCAGCGAGGTAACAACTGGACAACGTGGTAACGGCGTCTGCCGCAACCGGCCGCGCAACACGACAGCGTAGACTGTTTCCCCGGGAAGATAAAAAGCGGCAGCACACAGCAGACTTAATTTCACGTTGTGCCATATATCGCATACCTATATATCACACGTCCGAAGAGCGATAGAGAACGGACAAACGACGCTGAAGTATCCCCCTCGGTACCAACCAGTCACGACCGGCGGGAGACCCATTGGCGGCCGCCGGAGGCCAGGAGTTCCCAGCAGCTACCAGGCGTTGGCCAGACCCTCCCACTTGCAGGCACCCAATCACGAACGGCAACGCCTCGGCAATTGCCGATCAGCTTCCCTCACAGCCCTGCATCAGGCATCCCATCCCCATCCGATGCGTGGAGTCCCATTGATACTTGAGCCACGTCCCCGCTGCGCCCACATCGCCAGGCCCTGAGCGCGCGGGGCTGCTGACCTGACGAAGACGACCCAGCGGGCCCGGTAGTAGTCGCCCACCAGGCCGGCCCACTGCTTGGCAGCGTAGTCCACGATGTTGGCGTCCGGCCCCCACAACGTCAGCTGGTTCAGGGCGTTGTAAACGTACTGCTTCCGCTCCTGCCCGCCGCACGGGCCGCCAGCGTTACAACGGGTCGTCGTCTCCACACCCCTGTCTTCACCACAAGCCCACGTCGTCAGCGGCATACGCCCCAACGCGCATTTCCAATAGTCAGGTACTCTACGCGCTGTGCGTGCTTCCGTCACAAAATGTCATCGATGCAAGTTTTCTTTGAACGAACACATGCATCTCCTTTAATCATGCGAGACGACAAAACATACCTTACAAATCCGCAGTAGAACTGGACGTTTCAGCTTTATACCGGTAAGGCATGCGTAATGACAACTAAACGATCTGAGTTAGAGAATAAAACCCCCCGAAAGCATCCTGCATACATCCCACGGGCAGCACACCACCACGCTTTGGCCCCAGACATTACCTGTTTGCCAGTGGCGACTTCCTGCGCCTGCCTGAGCCAGTCGCCGAGCAGGAACGCCTTGTTGGTGTTGAGCACTTCGTCCATGTCCGAGAGCAGCTCCAGAATGAGAGTGCCCCGCTCCCTGGAGAAGCACCAGTCGTCACCAGATGGTGTCACTCTGACAGCTGACGTCACCCCGACAACTGACGTCACCCCGACAACTGGTGTCACTCCGACAGCTGACGTCCCCCTGACGGCTGACGTCACTCCGACAGTTGGTGTCACCCGAACAAATGAATCACTCCAACAGCCAACGTCACTCCGATGGTTGACGTCACTCTGAAAACTGATGTCATTTAGACAGCCGACGTCATTTTGACAGCTGACGTCACCCCACAGCTGGCGTAACTCGAACGGCTAACGTCACTCCGACAGCTGATGTCACACTGCGAGTAGCACGGTCGGCCCCACGCCGACACACAACCTGCTTCGTGTGTTTCACAGCGGGCACAACAAACGCCAATAGACCTATTCAATTGTTCGTTTCAGAACACAACACAAACAATCCCTCGAGCCCTGAAACCTACGCACTGTGCCATTTACCAAGAGCCAAACAGTGCAATCCACCCTGACGCAGCCGCCTCGGCCCTTGAACGGTTCCTTGACGCTGGCGGAGCGTCCCACCGTCCGCAGGTCGGCGCCCGCCCTCTGGCGCAGCTTCCTGTCGGCCGGCGCCCTTACTGCAGGAGCAGGCGGTCGCCCGCGCGGTAGGCGTCGCGCAGCTGCTCGAAAAAGTCGGCCAGCAGGAGAGACATGACTTCGCGGGTGACGTCCACCAGGTCGTGCTGCAGGTTGGCGGCGGCGCGCACCTCCGCCGCCGACGCGCCGGTGACCAGCCGGTCCCACGCGGCCGCCAAGTCGGATGTGTTGTACCACAGCTGGCGGCGATACAGGACAGTCAGGTGGGACGTGCTGTACCACAGCTGGCGGCGATACAGGACAGTCAGGTGAGACGTGCTGTATCACAGCTGGCGGCGATACAGGACAGTCAGGTGAGACGTGCTGTACCACAGCTGGCGGTGATACAGGACAGTCAGGTGGGACGTGCTGTACCACAGCTGGCGGCGATACAGGACAGTCAGGTGGGACGTGCTGTACCACAGCTGGCGGTGATACAGGACAGCCAGGTGGGACGTGCTGTACCACAGCTGGCGGCGATACAGGACAGTCAGGTGAGACGTGCTGTATCACAGCTGGCGGCGATACAGGACAGCCGGGTGGGACGTGCTGTACCACAGCTGGCGGTGATACAGGACAGTCAGGTGAGACGTGCTGTACCACAGCTGGCGGTGATACAGGACAGTCAGGTGGGACGTGCTGTACCACAGCTGGCGGTGATACAGGACAGTCAGGTGGGACGTGCTGTACCACAGCTGGCGGTGATACAGGACAGTCAGGTGGGACGTGCTGTACCACAGCTGGCGGTGATACAGGACAGTCAGGTGGGACGTGCTGTACCACAGCTGGCGGTGATACAGGACAGTCGGGTGGGACGTGCTGTACCACAGCTGGCGGTGATACAGGACAGTCAGGTCGGACGTGCTGTACCACAGCTGGCGGTGATACAGGACAGTCAGGTGGGACGTGCTGTACCACAGCTGGCGGTGATACAGGACAGTCGGGTGGGACGTGCTGTACCACAGCTGGCGGTGATACAGGACAGTCAGGTGGGACGTGCTGTACCACAGCTGGCGGTGATACAGGACAGTCAGGTGGGACGTGCTGTACCACAGCTGGCGGTGATACAGGACAGTCAGGTGGGACGTGCTGTACCACAGCTGGCGGTGATACAGGACAGTCAGGTGGGACGTGCTGTACCACAGCTGGCGGTGATACAGGACAGTCAGGTGGGACGTGCTGTACCACAGCTGGCGGTGATACAGGACAGTCAGGTGAGACGTGCTGTACCACAGCTGGCGGTGATACAGGACAGTCAGGTGGGACGTGCTGTACCACAGCTGGCGGTGATACAGGACAGTCAGGTGGGACGTGCTGTACCACAGCTGGCGGTGATACAGGACAGTCAGGTGAGACGTGCTGTACCACAGCTGGCGGTGATACAGGACAGTCAGGTGGGACGTGCTGTATCACAGCTGGCGGTGATACAGGACAGTCAGGTGGGACGTGCTGTACCACAGCTGGCGGTGATACAGGACAGTCAGGTCGGACGTGCTGTACCACAGCTGGCGGTGATTACAGGACAGTCAGGTCGGACGTGTCTGTACAACAGCTGGCGTGATACAGGACAGTCGGTTGGGACGTGCTTGTACAACAGCTGGCGGCGATACGGAACATCCGTGAAGACGTGCTGTACCCAGCTGCGGCGAGACGGAACAGTCAGGTGAGACTTGCTGTAACACAAGCGGCTGCGATACGGGACAGTCAGGTGGAGACGTGCTGTACCACAGCTGTCGGCGATACGGAACAGTCAGGTGAGACGTGCACACTGTACCACAGCTGGCGAGCGATAAGAACAGTCATGTGAGACGTGCTGTACCACAGCTGGCGGTGATCCAGGACAGTCAGGTGGGACGTGCTGTATCACAGCTGGCGGTCTACAGGACCAGTAGATGGGACGTGCTGAACCACAGCTGGGCGGCGATAACAGCACAGTCAGGTGAGACTTGCCTGTACCACAGCTGGCGGCGATACGGAACAGTCAGGTGGGACGTGCTGTATCACAGCTGGCGGTGATACAGGACAGTCAGGTGGGACGTGCTGTACCACAGCTGGCGGCGATACGGAACAGTCAGGTGAGACGTGCTGTATCACAGCTGGCGGTGATACAGGACAGTCAGGTGGGACGTGCTGTACCACAGCTGGCGGCGATACGGAACAGTCAAGTGAGACGTGCTGTATCACAGCTGGCGGTGATACAGGACAGTCAGGTGGGACGTGCTGTATCACAGCTGGCGGTGATACAGGACAGTCAGGTGGGACGTGCTGTACCACAGCTGGCGGCGATACAGAACAGTCAGGTGAGACGTGCTGTATCACAGCCGGCGGTGATACAGGACAGTCAGGTGGGACGTGCTGTACCACAGCTGGCGGTGATACAGGACAGTCAGGTCGGACGTGCTGTATCACAGCTGGCGGCGATACAGGACAGTCAGGTGGGACGTGCTGTACCACAGCTGGCGGTGATACAGGACAGTCAGGTGGGACGTGCTGTATCACAGCTGGCGGTGATACCGGACAGTCAGGTGGGACGTGCTGTACCACAGCTGGCGGCGATACGGAACAGTCAGGTGAGACGTGCTGTACCACAGCTGGCGGTGATACAGGACAGTCGGGTGGGACGTGCTGTATCACAGCTGGCGGCGATACAGGACAGTCGGGTGGGACGTGCTGTACCACAGCTGGCGGTGATACAGGACAGTTGGGTGGGACGTGCTGTATCACAGCTGGCAGCGATACAGGACAGTCAGGTGAGACGTGCTGTACAACAGCTGGCGGCGATACAGGACAGTCAGATGGGACGTGCTGTACCACAGCTGGCGGTGATACAGGACAGTCAGATGGGACGTGCTGTATCACAGCTGGCGGCGATACAGGACAGTCGGGTGGGACGTGCTGTACCACAGCTGGCGGCGATACGGAACAGTCAGGTGAGACGTGCTGTACCACAGCTGGCGGTGATACAGGACAGTCGGGTGGGACGTGCTGTATCACAGCTGGCGGTGATACAGGACAATCAGGTGGGACGTGCTGTATCACAGCTGGCGGTGATACAGGACAGTCAGGTGAGACGTGCTGTACCACAGCTGGCGGTGATACAGGACAGTCAGATGGGACGTGCTGTACCACAGCTGGCGGCGATACAGGACAGTTCAGGTGGGGACGTGCTGGTATCCACAGCTGGCGGGCGACACAGGACTGTCAGGTCGGACGTGCTGTATCACAGCTGGCGGCGATACAGGACAGTCAGGTCGGACGTGCTGTATCACAGCTGGCGGCGATACAGGACAGTCAGATGGGACGTGCTGTATCACAGCTGGCAGTGATACTGGAGTCAGGTGGGACGTGCTATACCACAGCTGGCGGTGATACAGGACAGTCAGGTGGGACGTGCTGTATCACAGCTGGCGGCGATACAGGACAGTCATGCGGAACAAGCAGAGCGGAAGGGTGGTACAGGCACTGATGTAAGATTGTGCAGTACGTTAGAAATGAATGGGGTTTCCCAGAGCTTGACTTACGTCGTTTTCCATATCCAAGCTGGGTCGCTTTGTGGTGATGAAGCGAATGTGTACCCTGTGTGTTAGCTTTGCACCATCATGGTTGTAGACGCTCGTCTGGAAGAGGGACGTGGAGTAAGCAGGACAAAAACAAAGAAACGGCAGGAGCAAAATCACGCATAACTAGCCGAAAGGTTGAGTACACACTAACACACCAGATCAGGAAGACAGTCGGAACAATTATTCCATCCGCGGAACGACGCGATCCTCGCTAGTTCATAGCCACCGGCCTCCATCAAATACCACGCGTGTGCCGGCCGGCCCAGACAATGCAAACGCTCCACGACAGCGACAGCCCACTGGTCCGGAGCGCTCGCCGCCCGACGTACCATCAGATGGTCCCAGGCCTCGGCCATGACGGTCGGTCTGGAGATGGCCGGGCCGTACCTCCGCAGGCTATAATCGGAGGCCCTGCGGCGGGGACTGTGTCAGCCGGTCCGGCGAGCGCTCCCAGTACGCGGCCCCCCCGCACCACTCACGCCAGCGGAAGCAGCGGTCACGGCACGAAACGAAGCGGCTACGTCACGAGACACAGCGGCCACGTCAGGAGACACAGCGACCACGTCAGGAGACACAGCGGCCATGTCAGGAGACACAGCGAATACGTCAGAAGACTCAGCGACCAGGTCAGGAGACAGAGCGACCACGTCAGGAGACACAGCGACCACGTCAGGAGACACAGCGACCACGTCAGGAGACAGAGCGACCAGGTCAGGAGACACAGCGGCTATGTCAGGAGACACAGCGACCATGTCAGGAGACACAGCGACCATGTCAGGAGGCACAGCGACCACGTCAGAAGACACAGCGACCACGTCGGGGATGCTCACTAATCGAGCGCCGGTCTGACCCGCGCACAAGGCCAAACGCATCAAAGGCGGAGCACGTCCGCGCTTCTGCCGCCCGGTCCCTGCATCATTATTGGGGCGCAGCCTGAGGAAGACGACACCCTGCCACCAGCGTTGCCGCGTGCGGTCTCACCCGCAGCCAGCCCTGTACCGCGGCGCTGGGACGCAGAACCCACTCGAGCCCTCAGCGCGCCGCCGTGAGCACCCAGCCATCGGTCTGGTACGCACCACTGCACGGGATCGGGCGACTCGGTGTGCCAGGCCATCTCCAACATGAGGTCGTACATGACGTAGTTCTGGAAGATGCCCTCCATGGTGATGCCGGTCCCGATCATCGAGCTGTTGGCGAATGAACGCCCTTCGAACGGCCCCTGGAACGCAGCGGGCCGGCCGGACGCATGAGGCCCTGGTGACAGATAGCCCTGGACGGGGCCGATCGACCCGCCCAGAGGCCGGGCACGGTCGGCGTCACGGCAGCCGCGCCTACTCAACAGTCTCAGACGGGGCCGATCGACCCGCCCCGAGGCCGGGCACGGCTGGCGTCACGGCGGCCGCGCCTCCTCAACAGTATCAGACGGTGCAGCATACAAAAGGCCTAAAGAAAACAGCTGCTCAAGCACGGACCGTTTTCCCGTGATGGTCAGATCGCCCTTGGCCCTTCGACCGAGCGCCGAAATGTCACTGAATGAATAAAACATTCGATTACTGCACTGAATGACAAGAAAACGTGAGGCAAACTGATTCTTGCCATTCGTCAGCCAACTGCCGGCGGCCGGGCACGCGCCGCGCGCTACCACTGCAGCGGCGCTCCCACCTTGACGACGGACTGAACAGTGCCCTGCAGCCCCAGCTGACCACCGAAGTTGTGCAGCATGCACCAGACGAACGGCTGGCCGTAGTACGATTCGAACCGGTTGTAGACCGGCGCCACCTCAGAGTACAGGTCCAGCACGATCATGCGACCCTGTGCGACACAGCGTGTCAACTGGACGGCCCCAATGTTGTAAGGTCGTCATTTCTATACGGCGTCAACTGTGAAGCCCGCTACCTAAATGAACTGAGCCCAGTGCATCAAATGAGCATGTACCCAGTGGATCGAGCCGAAATGTATCCATCGGACCGAGTCAACGTGTGTACGGTACACAGAGTCGACCTGGCTGACACCAGGTGGCAGGTCCGGAAATGGGCGACACGTCCATGGCCGAAACGAGTCGAGCAAATTTAACACATCCGCAGCATGAATTAGGCGATTCAAATGTTATTTATTAGGCAAAAATAACGGAAGATTTGATCAGGAAATGCCAACAGCAAAGTAAATCTTTGACTCGCTGGTTTGGAAAGGCCCCCAACGCTTGAATATAAGATACCTTCAAAATGTTCACGTGCCTCATAAGCAGGCACTGACTGAGTTTACCAGCTATGCGCACCGCTCAATCGCATGTACGAAGAAGCGAATTAGTTAAGCAAATTAGACCACCACCAGATCCAATCGACAGCCCAAGAGCACAGCTGTTTGACTGCGTCTGTACGTACTGTGGGAACGGAGGTGAGGTATGCCTTCGCCCGCTCCGTTTTCCAGAAGGGACTCAAGAAGAGCCATCCTTGCATAAGCCTGCAACCCGGAGATATATGCATGCCGAAAGATGTGCTTACTGACTCCGCAGCCGTCATCCATACCGAACACTGTTCACTTACCCACATGATACGCAGCACACGGGTCAAGCTCGCTAGTGCTGCACCCGGGTAAACCTCGCTAGACTATCACGAAAACGTACGTGCAAGTTCGTACATTACAAACACCAAGCATAATCAACAACTTTGTTGACCTATTTTTAGTTACGTGAGCCCTTTAACACAGCCGGCGGACCACGGAGTCCAGCCAGTGCTGGCCATCTCGAGAGACGCTCAGGAGCCCAGAACCCACCACACATCTCCCCACGCGACCCACGCGACCCGCGCCGCCCACCCGTCCCCTCCCGTATCGTGAGTCCCGTGACCCACCAGACAGCCTGCGGGTCGGCGCCGGTCATGGCCGCCAAGGTGGCGTTGCCCGCCTCGCGTAGGTAGGCCAGCGCGCTGGACGGCGGCGTCATCTCGTTGAATGAGTCGCAGTTGTAGACGTGCTCGGTGCCGTTGAACTCCAGCTGCAGCTGCGGAACGGCGCGGAGACGCGGCGCTAACGGGCGGAGCTGGATACGGGGCAGTGGCCGGTGTCCGGGTGCACGGGTCCCCTCGGACGCGGCGATACGGCGCACGTGCGTCACGCGACGAACATTGTTGGGAGGATGTAAGCCGAACGATATGCACCCCGGCGTTGACATCCCAACAAGGGGACGCAACAGAGCGTGGGCAGCGCGGTTTGCATGGTGTTGCTGGCACAGGCAATACCAGGGGCTGATTTGCGTCCGACTGTGCGACGCCTTTGTCAGACCGCGGTCAACGGCGTGTGCAAGGGACCGTCCTACTTCGCAGTTGATCACTGTGCGATTCGATCTCAAATACGTAACACTGCGGCGTGCGTGCCTTTCACAAGCAAGCCCCACATATGCGTAAGAAGTAGGAAGTAGGCAAAGCTGAATAATACGCAACATCCGTGTAATCGGTAGCGCGACCCGTGCCAAGGTACCGCGCAAAAGCTGACTCACCTCGGTCACGCAGGTCGTAACACTGAGCAGCACACAGACAACATGTAATACCACAAAAGCATGCCGACCATCGACTGACACAGACAACATTTAACACCACAAAAGCATGACGACCATCAACTGATACACTCCTCCGCCGCATTCCCGAGTGTTCACACATCGGTAGCTGACCCGAGAGAGCGGCCAGCGCCGGCGCCGGCTAGCTCTAGTGCCAGCAGCGGCCAGCAGCGGCCAGCAGCGGCCAGCGCCATCGCCGGCTAAACGTCGTGTGAACCGCACCTCCCGCACGATGGCGTTGCCGATTTTGCGGTACAGCGTCGAGGCCGGCTCCAGGAACACGGTGCATGTGTAGGTAGTGTTCAGTTTGCCCCAGCAGCGCAGGCGCGAGGTGGGAGCGTCTGGGAACATCCTGGGTGGGCACGCGGGGTGTTACCACCCGGACGGACGGCCGGCGACAACCCCACAATATGACGCGCTCCCACCGCTCTGCCGTGCAAAGGCGTAAAGCCGCATCCTTGACGTGCTAGACAGTAATCCATGCGTCGCTATGGCGATCCTTGGTCGATGCGTCCCTTGGTATATGCAGTTTTCGAGCCATTAAAGACGCCTAGCTAGTTTGAAAAACTAAATGCGCGTGCAGCGAAACATCTCATGCTCCGAATTGTTCCACTGGGTGAACAATAGGAGACGGTTTTTGGCCTTTGCACAGCGGAAGGGAGTCGACAACACGGACACAAGGACATCATTAACGCCAACAACCCGGGTGGACAGGACTCACGAGTAGGCTCCAAGGCCAGCGCTTCTGGCCGGCGGCGCTGCAAGAGGCTTCACAAAACCCAAGCCGGCACCCAATAAGACTGGTGAGGACGAGCCGCTCACCTCAGTGACCAAGCTGTTACCAATCCGCATATACAGCGGGTCCACCGGGTCGAGGAACAACGTGTGCGAGTACGACTCGTTGAAACTGTTCCAAGATGGCAGCATGGTGACGTTACTATCCGGGAATGCCCTGCAACCAGCCTTGGCCATTAGGTGTGCTCCTGTGGCCCAGCGCGACCGTTAGCCGGCGGTAGGACGCCATTAGAGGCTTCGAGGCAGCTGAGACCTTAACAGCCGGAGCATGCTGGACTACGCTGGGCAGCCATGTAGCGCATTCCATCACTCTGACGATAACATGTCATCTAATGTGAGCCAGCAGAACAGAGTGCTTCTGTGAAGCCAGGCACAGGTCAGCCAGTGGGTCGCGTCGCATTCTGCATGACACTGAAAGCAACGATTCACTCAGCACTCTCCGCGAGCATCTGGTCTGCGCATGGCACGTGCCATAGCACACAGGCGTGCCAAGACGTGCGACACATGCCCGGTGCTGGCACGAGCCCGCAGCGCGGTCCGGGCCAACCCCACCTGCTGAAGTTTTGAGGCACGTGGCCGGCGAAGGCGGGCAGCACCGGCGTGATGCCTAGCAGGCGCATGCGCGCTATGATCTGGTGCGCCAGCGTCAGCTGCTGCTGGTGCCAGTCCTCCGACAGTGGCCCTCCCCACCGCTGCAGGTTGCCCATCCGATTCCTGACAGGGGGAGGGGCACGGTGGGCGCGACAGTGTCTGCGACTGTTGCATCACTCGGAGCGATTCCACAAATTTTGTCAGCGAAGCCAGTGGCACTAACGGCGACGAAACGGTTAGACAAATACGCATTGCATAGCACCATCACATTATTAGATCATATGACGCTGCATAGCACAGGCTCCACACACACGCACACGCACACGCACACGCACGCGCACGCACACACACACACGTTGCACGCTTACAAGACGGTGAGTCTTTCGACACACAACAGCTCGTCATCTGCCCAAGCGTTCACCGACCCCGCTCGCCAGCCGCATCACACCGTCTGGTCTGATCTGGCAGCGCACGGCGCGGCGTGGCTCTCCGTACCAGGCGAGGAACGCCGGCCCGCTGAAGAACTCGTCCACCTCAGCCTTGGTGAGGCCCAGCCGCATGAACACGCGGCGCCAGATGACCTCCTGGCCAGTGAAGGCCAGCGCCAGGTTCAGGCCGTTGAGCGCCATCCAGTCGAGCTCGCGCTGCCAGCGCGCCCAGCCCCACCACACCGAGCTGTAGCTCACTGTACACACGTTCTGGTAGTAGCGGAACCTGGCGGTGGAGGAGGGCGTCAGAGGAGACGCGGCACGCAGACGTCACCGGGCCGGACACAGCACCGGGCTAGAACCCAGCGGTGGCGCACTGTTACTGGCGAGGGCGACAAAGACGGCCTCGCTACCAGACAGAGCGTTCGACTCGCTTCTGACGGTGGCGAAATGTTACAAGATACAATCAACGTGCTGGTCACAGCACCAGCATAGCGGCTTCAGCACAGCACCCGACTGGCGCCCCTGGAAACGTTTGAGACGGTCCGGGCCGTTCACAGTCCCCCTAATGTACCAATGACACTTGGTTCATTCCTTGTTTAACTGCCTGTCTGAGACGGAGACGAGACGAAGACGAAGACGAGCGGAGGCGGAGGCGGAGGCGGAGGCGGGGACGAAGACGGAGATGGAGAGAGAGGGGAAGTGAGAAAGCGCGAGAGAGAGAGAGAGAGAGAGAGAGAGAGAGAGAGAGAGAGAGAGAGAGAGAGAGAGAGAGAGAGAGAGAGAGAGAGAGAGAGAGAGAGAGAGAGAGAGAGAGAGAGAGAGAAGAGAGAGAGAGAGAGAGAGAGAGATAGAGAGAGAGAGAGAGAGAGAGAGAGAGAGAGAGAGAGAGAGAGAGAGAGAGAGAGAGAGAGAGAGAGAGAGAGAGAGAGAGAGAGAGAGAGAGAGAGAGAGAGAGAGAGAGAGAGAGAGAGAGAGAGAGAGAGAGAGAGAGAGAGAGAGAGAGAGAGAGAGAGAGAGAGAGAGAGAGAGAGAGAGAGAGAGAGAGAGAGAGAGAGAGAGAGAGAGAGAGAGAGAGAGAGAGAGAGAGAGAGAGAGAGAGAGAGAGAGAGAGAGAGAGAGAGAGAGAGAGAGAGAGAGAGACAAGAGAGAGAGAGAGAGAGAGAGAGGAGAAGAGAGAGAGAGAGAGAGAGAGAGAGAGAGAGGAGAGAAGAGAGAGAGAGAGAGAGAGAGACGAGAACAGAGACATAGAAAGACGAGACAGAGACCGAGACAGAGACAGAGACAGACAGAGACATAGACAGAGACGAGACAGAGACAGAGACAGAGACAGAGACAGAGACAGAGACAGATACAGAGACAGAGACAGAGACAGAGACAGAGACAGAGACAGAGACGATAACAGAGACAGCAGAGACAGAGACAAGACAGAGACAAGACAGACGAACAGAGACAGAGACAGAGACAGAGACAGAGACGAGACGAGACAGACAGAGACAAGAGACAGAGCAGAGACAGAGACAGAGCAGAGACAGAGACAGAGACAGAACAGAGACAGAAGAGACATATACAGAGACAGAGACAGAGACAGAGACAGAGACAGAGACAGAGAGACAGGATAGAGAGAGAACTGCGAGCGAGGGAAAGACAGCGAGAGGGAAAGACAGCGAAAGGGAAAGACAGCGAAAGGGAAAGACAGCGAAAGGGAAAGACAGTGAAAGGGAAAGACAGCGAAAGGGAAAGACAGCGAAAGGGAAAGACAGCGAAGGGGAAAGACAGAGAGAGCTACCGTGCCTCGCTTTTACCTGTCATTGGCACGGACGGTGATGTTAGCGTCGGGCAGAGGCCGGGGCAGTTCCAGCTGGTCAGAGTCCCAGGAGACGTGAGCATGACATACATACTTGAGGTAGTGGTGGAATCCCCAAGCGGCAGCCACGCCTGAGGAGGCCAGCACCTGCACCCGACCTCCGGATGCGCCCACCTGGCAAAGCTGGAGCCAGTGGTGTCCGACAGGGGCGTCACAAATACGCCAAATCAGAACGGCACAGGAGCGATCTTCTTGCTGGAAATGAGGGGACTACACCCGTCCTAAATCATCATGAGAAGAAGGTTATGTGTCCACTCAGGCGTCTCTATCACTGTAAGATCTTGACATAGCATTAGGAGTCCTAGTTGAAACAGTACCACGAAAAAATAACTTTGTTGACGATGAAATCAGTTGCAGCCATTCGACGAATTGGATTCATTCCATGCGTCGCGTATTTATTACTATGTATGTATTAATATGTCCATACCTGATTAGGAATGGCAAACTCACAATGAACTGATCCCTGCCGGCCTGGTCGAGCAGGCCGCTGTCCACCTGGACGCTGACCGCGGCCGCCCGGTCCGGGATCAGCCGGTACAGCAGCGCTGTGACGGCGGCCGCCTGCTCGGCGTCGCCGGTCTGTGGCCGCAGCTGCGGGTACGAGAAGTCCGCCTGCCAGCCGCCGCCCGCCGGCAGCCCCGCCGACTGCAGCCGCGCCGGGTCCGCCATCGGCGAGACTGCAAGCGCAATGGCGCCCAACGCGGGTTAGAGACTATGACAATATTCACTGTCATATCCACATTAGCAGCATGGAGAACATTGTGTTATGAGCTTATCGTTGTTGATTTGAGTTTTAGGGCGCGCCGACCACTGAGGTCATTTTGCGCTCATAACAGCTAAATGGCTACCTACGAGTGTAAGTGGCGAAAAATACTATATAGTCAAAAGTGAAAACCGCTGGGTCGTGACAGGAACGCGAAGAGTCGTCACCAATGATATCCGATTAGGTGAACCGATAATAAGTTGTTAATAAGAACTTTTCAGCAGCCTAAAAACTTCCTGCACGCGGTACAAACTCGTCAGGCAGGTGTAGATAAAGTGCAGCACTTAACATGCGATAAGAACCTGACGATATGTCCGATATGTGGTGAGCTGAGGTGAGCATAGCTGAGGTGAGCTGAGGTGAGCATAGTAAATCGGAGAGCGTCAGGGACGGCGCCGCCGGGCCAATGTACCTCAGACGCTCGACACGCAGTATGGGACAGCATACAAGCACATGCTCCACTGTAAGCATGGCGCTGCCGTGGCGACACCGTGGTAGTTTGTCGCGACACAGTAGGTATCGATGTGTGGCATGAGCGTAGCCAATCCGCAAGCGAGACAAGATAACTTCCTCCCGTCTGGACTTCCGATAGGATGACTGCCATTCCTGAACAATCGGCTTAGTGCTTTTCAGTTTACTGGTGCCCACCGCATCCCATGTACTCTGCCATTCCCCGCGCAAAAATGTAGACAAGGCTGAGTATAAGTCTGTAGCGGGTATTGGGAACGCTCTGCGATAGAGACGAAGAGTAGCACGCTTTGCGGCAGCGGCAGCCAGCTCATTTCCCGCAATGCCAACGTGGCTCGGAATCCAGCAAAGTACTACGGTCTTGCCAGCTCGGTGCAGAGAGTAGAGATGCAGTAAAATGTCCTGTATACGGGGATTTACCGGATTGAAAACGTCTTAATGTCGAAAGGGCACTTAGGGATTCGACAAAACCACGTGCAGACTGTCTTCGATCACCTCAATAAAGCAGAGCGCCTTAAGGATGGCCACAACTTATGCAGTATACACGGACGCACGGGACGACAGTGTAAGTGATCGCGTATCAGGGCCACACACGAAGGCGGAACCAACACCCGTACCGTCTCGGAGCCATCACTATATGTAATTCTGGACCCCCGATGTTTCGATATGTTTCAGAGCTGTTGATCTGACAAAACACGGAATTATATTCTGCTTCCCAACCTCCGACAGCGAGGCGTCGACGGTTGACGATGCATCGCCCACGGAGCGGTCGGCAGGCTACGTGGGCGTGCCACGCCCCGCAAACTTAAGCCACTCTTACGAATGGTGCCCCACGTGATGTTTGTTCGCCTTGAAAAACATCAGATGCGTGGCGTGAGAACACAGCGTCAGATGTTGGATGGTTCTGGAATTGCGCGAGCTTACAAGCGTACCGTATCCCCTACAACTTCATTCGGGTAGCTAGGGGGGTTGTTGGCTTCCACAAGCAAGCTGGCTGTCAGACGTATGAAATGCACCAGCAATGATCCTCAACGCAGCATGGTGGACCGCATTCAGTGTACGTTTTACGGACTCAGAGGCGCCAAAACAAGCATAGTTTAGCTTGGAACGTATCAGTGAACGGCATAAGTGTTTTCCGATCTGCTCAGTAGGATGTTCGTGCCACGCATTTCAATATGTTCAGTGTCTTAAAATACTTGTCGCGCAGAATGATAAAATGCTCCTTGTAGGTCAAACGTTTATAAAAATGCAACCCTAAAAACTGTGCCGCTGTATTGCAGGGGATCAGCCGTACATAAAGCTTACGCGCCATGTCGGGACACTAACGCCGGTGTCGACAAAAATGGGCGGAGACTGCCTTCGATGTCGAAAACCGTAACCCGTTGATTATGCTCCACCTTCCTACGTGACCCCCAGCCAAGTGCAACTGGCGCGACGTGGACGCTGCCGTTGCAGAGCTACACCAAATGGCGAGGTCATCAACGAAAAGTGAGCAGCCAATCGTCTGGGGAAGGCTGCTCCCGACATCGCTTATCACGGCAGCGAACAACGCAACACTTAAAACACTGCCCTGGGGTGCATCTGCCTTGGGTGTATCTTTTCGAGCATATGGAACCAATACGGACTCCGAACAAACGGTTAGCAAGAAAGTTCGCAAGAAAAGTACCCATAGCTCCGCGTATGCCATACTGGAACAGTTTCCGTAAGATGCCATATCGCCAGATGGTGTCGTAAAAATTTTCGATGTCCAAGAGAACAGCTCCTACGTGTCGCCTTTCATTGAAAGAAATGCGCACAGTCGAGCACAAGGCTAAAAGATGATCAATGGTGCTGCGGTTCTTCCTAAAACCACACTGGGCGTTTGAGAAGAAATACTGCTTTCTAAAAACTAAGACAATCGTGTCTGAAGCATCCGCTCCAGAAGTTTGCATATTGAGGAGGTAAGCGAAATTGGGCGGTAGTCCGACGGATCCGTCCCATCAGACTTCAGCAGCGGAACAATTAGCGACTCCCGCCAAGACGTCGGGAACTCTCCTGTCTCCCACAACTGATTGAATGCCGTCAACATAGCTTGTGCTGCTGTTAGTGGAAGTCGCCGGAGCGCATCATTATGAATGAAATCCGGGCCTTCCGCCACGCTACGCAGAGTTGTTGGTAGACATCAGTTCAAGCATTGTGAAAGGTTTGTTGTATGGAAGCTCCTCGGCTCTATGACAGCTTATCTGAGCTGCTTCGAAACGAGCACGATGGCGTGTGAGATCGGGAGTGGCAGTTGTTGGCCCACGACGCTCCGTGAACGCACGAGCCATTTCATTCGCCACATCAGATGGGTGCAGTATGTCCTGACCATTCATACAAAGCACGGGGTGCGGCACTGAGGAGTGTTGGCCTGCTATACGCTTCACCCGCGCCCAAACCGCCGAAGCCGGCGTTTGGCAATTAAGTTGGCCCACATATCAACGCCAAGACGTGTGCTGGGCCTCCAAGATCGTTGTGCTGCCACCCGAGCTCGTCGAAATGCAATTAAGTTGTCTGTAGTGCTGTGCTGATCAAGTCACGCAGGGCTTTTTACGCACGTATAGCGTCGCGGCACTAGTCCGTCCACGAGGGAACAGGGGACGACGTGGGGCATCGAATGTACGTGGTATGCTTTCTTCTGCCGATCGTAAGACCGTGGAAGTAAGTTCCTCTACCGATGCAGGCACATCCACCGAAACGGAAGCCAACCTGATTTCCGCCCGTGCCTGAAATTCATCCCCAGTCCGTCTTTTTAAGATTCCACCGTTGTGGCCTGGAACCGAGAGCTGCTCCGTTCTGGTCACGCGACCAGATGGGGTAGTGATCATTACCACAGGAGTCGTTTTCAACGGACCATGTCAGGTATACCGCCAGTTGGGGGCTTGCAAAACTCAAGTCCAGCGCCGATGTCTGACCTGACAGCAGGGTCATGCGAGTTCGGGTCCCGGTGTTTAAAAGACAGAGAAACGTAATCACGTAAAAGTTTCTCGGTGCCTGCCGCGAGTGTTGGTCTGGGAGCAACCCCAAGATGTGTGGTGAGCATTGAAGTCACTCAGCAAAAGAAGAGGCGGGGGAAGCTCGGCAACCAGAAGTCTCATTTCTGCCGTCGGAAACGAAGTGCCAGAATGTAAATAAAGCGAGCGGACGGTTATCGCACGACGCCCGAAAAATACCTTAGCTGCAACAGCTTGCAGGTCAGAGCGTAAGACGACGACTTCGACCGAGGCACTGTGGTGCACAGCCAAAAGAACTCCGCCGTGTGCAATTAGATCAGCTGGCGTGTCCCGACGCATTACGGTGTAGCTCGGGATACTTAAATGAGTGCCAGGAGTCAGTTTGGTCTGCAGGCAGGCGATGGCGGGACAGCGCTGATTCAGAATGACTCTGAGATCGTGTAGACTACTTCTCACACCCCTGCAGTTCCACCGTAAGATACCTGTCATAGAGCTAAGAAGTGAGGGAAGCCACTTAACACCTAGCTCGCTAGCACAGCACGCAGAATATCAGTCAAGACGCCTCCAAGGGGACGTGCTAAAGAAGGGGTCAAAGTCACACTTCAAGACCCGACACGGTTCAAAAGAACTGGGCTGCGCCTGTTGCCGGACCGAACACCTCGGTCTGGGAGTTGCGGTTCGATTCCGTATGGCGGTGCTCCACTCTGGGCCGAATCATTGGGCTTCCTCCGTCAGATGGAGACGAAGGACCGGCTGGGGGGCGCTTTGTGCCAGCGTGCCCAATCCTGGGTGGCGGAGGGGGAGAACCCATGGATGGGGCCTTGCCAGACATCTGAGGACCAGCGGGAGGCTCCACTGGTCTTCTGGGCGGTGGAATACTGCTGCGGGGGACGGACTCCTCGCTCGCCACGGACATACGGTTCGCCGCCTTTGCCCGTTATTGTTCGACGAAGCGTGCCCGCTTGGCATCGTGGGCGCGCCTGTCCGCCTCGGGCCGCTCCAACGTTTCCATCGCCTGCCCGCATGCGTTCGCTAGTGGTGTCGGAGGTGACGAAGGCAGCGAAGCACACGAGGCGGAGCTGGACGAAGGTGGCGAAGAAACCGCAGGACCACCGTCCCCGGCCCGGCGCCGGGATGGAGCAGGGGACTTAGCCCGGAGATCGTCCGCTACAGACTGGTCGGCCGGCGAGGAGGGGTTCGGACTGCCGGCTGGGAGTCCGGTGTACGCGCCTGAGGGTACAACAGTGACTCAAAAGTCCCATGAACTGAATGACAGTCATCTGCTCGATGGCGTTGTTGTGCGGCAAAGCAGTTTTTACTTTCGATGCATGAGAGAGCTTAGGATGACTCGCATCATGCAGGTCTCTGGCCTCTTGGAAATATATATGTTTTTGGATGGTTTTAGCAGAGGACCTCCTTTTCTCTGGCGAACGCTGCACATGTACGGTCAAACGCAGTGTGTGGCGTTTGGTCCTTACGACAGTTGACGCAATAAGGCTGGTCAGCGGTGCAGTTGTCACTCAAGTGGGTGGTGGACGAACACTTACTGCACGCTGGCTTATTGCGGCAACGGGGTTTCGTATGGCCGAACTGTTGACATGAAAACCGCGCATTGGGTTGGAAAAAAGGACGGACTTTCACGCGGGCATAGCCCACACGGATATCTGATGGTAGATCTGGACGATTGAACGTGAGAATGATGTTGGTAGCATTCAGTTTTCCTCCTCTCCTGACCAGGATTCTAGGCGCGGCGGTTACGCCGAACTACGAAAGCTCCTCGACGATTTCGCTCTCACATCACGAAGGTCAAAACAATTTACGACGCCTCTAGATGAGTTTTTTTTTGTGTTGTGTGGCGTTACTGTCAAAGCTACGGTTTGTCATGTTTCCCATTCTCATCACGAATACCATAACTGGACTCCTCCGCTTCTAATGCACGTTTCGACTCCAGACTACTGGCGAACTCCACCTCGATGCTGCCATACCTCAGCTTGTCACACCTCGTGATGTCTCCAAACTTGTCACAGCCGTTCCGTTGTTGGAACGGTGGCAGCGTGGAAAGCTTTACATCTCCGCTGGAGAAGATCAGAATCCGAGAGCACGGGGGCCGAATCCCCCTCGCACCCGGGCCTCAGAGCTGTCCGACCTCCTTTCGAGGGCCGGGTGTTTGTTGAATTTTGATAAGCCATGCGATTTCCAGCAAGCACTCGGTGCCGGGGCTTCCCACCCACCTCGGAGCCCAACTGAGGGAGGGTCCAACACTCCCTCGGGGGGGTGGTCGCCGCCAGCGTCGCCGCCAGGAGGTGGTCGCCGCCCGGTGCTATACGGGGCGAACGACGCCTCCCACACGGCCAGATGCAACCGGGGTGGCCCCTCCCCGTCCTGACTGTGGTTCAGCGTCGCCGCCCCTTGACCCTTAAGCCGCTGCGTGCGGTCAGGCGCCCCAAGCGAAGACCCGCACGGAACACCCAACCGCAGCGCGAGTGACAAGCCGCTAAACCCATATGGGGCCCCACGGGCCCCCTGCGCCCCCGGATATCCTGGCCAAAGTGGAGTGTTGGGACGCGCCGTGACTGACCCGCACGACGCGCCCCTCAGCCACCAGGATCCCATCAACCCGGGGACGTGGGCGAGGGGGCACGGCGACCCCGATAAAACGAGGATTAGGAGTGGTGAGCGGGCCGGATGCGGGAAAGCGGGTAATGGGAAAGGAGTGGGCGGGAAAGGGGCAGGAGCTCATGTTCCAGCAGGGTCGCTACGCCCTGAGAGGAACAGCTTGCGCTGTCCACCCGTTACCGGAGCTGGGACCCAAGGAGACGCTAGTCCCTACGCCGACCGAAGCTGGTGCCCCGGCAGGGTGTTATGGGCTCCGGAGAAAAATGATCACAACATATTTTATTACTACAAAATTAAAATGAGCACAACAAATTTTATGTTTAATGGGTGGGAGTCTAGCTGCTTGCCTAAGTATATAAATATCAAGGTTTACCACTAGATGACTTCAAAAAATTATGAAATGACCAATCACCATGCTAATTAATCACTTAAATGATTCCATTGTGCCAGCATTCTACAACTGACTTCTGCAATATATGCCAATTATTTTTTAATAAAACCAAACACATGACTGAACAGCAACATATCTTTCCAATACATCAAATATGACAAACTGTAGTTATACTTGCCGGAATATGTGATACTATTTGGATCAGAAGATGAGCAGAACATTGGGCACAGACTGGCGACAGCCATCAGGAGAGCTGGGCACCAACTACTGGTGTTAAACATAATCTCCATAGCTTGACATACAGATTTGATGCAGTTTCCTGCAACAGAGAAAAAGTGAAAAACTTCTTGCATTGGGTTGCCATTGTGCACTGACCACAGTATGCTACAAAGGTCAGAGCAGCAGTACAGGCATATCTGGGCTAGTGTCATTCAGGTGTTGCATTATATATATATATATATATATATATATATATATATATATATATATATATATATATATACCCGGGGACGCGGGCGAACAGCTATCTTATCTTTGTCAGTCACTATATAATTTTGTAGTAATAAAATATATATATATATATATATATATATATACAGGCAAGCTGAATTATACACAAGGGCAAATGTACATCAAGTCAGGCTCTTGCACATTTGCTAGATTTCTTGGAAAAGATAATTCACTGCTTTTGGTGAGGCATGAATCAGTTCACCTACAATCATTTGCATCACCTGAAGCTAGCTAACATTCCAAGGACACATTCCCCATTATCAAAGTCATGTAAGATGGTCAGACAGGAGGTATTCATATGTTGTAAACTATGAGGAATGCTCTATGAGACACAATCATAGGTGAACTATCAGTTATCATATCTCCACCTGAATATCTGGCCAAATAACAAAACACCAACAAACATACACACACCACTTTTCCAGCCAGTTTGGCACTATGGAAGGTCAAAGACATTTAATCACCCAGGGTGACTCACCCTGCTGCCACAGGGTGCTGATCAAGTCTAAGGTGATGCATGACCTTAGGCTGTTTGTTTAGGTATAGGCATACTTTCTCTGATGAGGATAGCTTCAAGAGTCTGTAAGCAACATTTTTTGAGATAACTTTAGAACCCGAGTGTTTTTAGTCAAGTCAGAGCATAGGAGCTTTCGATTGTGGGTTTTGCACAATGCTGGTCTGGCACCTCCTCCTGCAGGTATGTGCCTTGTGAAAGAGATCTCATAATCATTCCAATATAGGTCTAGTTGCAGAGCTGGCAGCCTCCATGCCAGCCTTTAAATTCACTTATTATGTTGCAGTGATTCAGCTGTTTTTCTTTATGCCCCTTGTATGATGGAGACATTTTATTTTGACAAACATTTTGATGGGCTGGGCCTTTGGGCTTCAATCAACTTTTATCCAAATCAAAATGTCCCCATCATACAAGGTGGATGAAAAAGTTTTGCAAAACATGGCAGGACAAGTGTCACAATGATGGATGAAAACACTATCTTTAATGACTGACAAAATATTTTTCATCTTTAATCAAAAACTCCTATGCTCTGACTTGACTGAGAACACCCAAATTCTAGAAAAATGTCAAAACAAATGCCACTTACCAGTTTTTAAAGCCATGTTCATCAGAGAAAGATGCATGACTTAAGGAAATGGCTGTCATGCAACACCTTGGACTTGTTCAATTTCCCCATTATAGCACACCAGCAGGGTAATTCAGTGCCTAGCTTTCCATTGTGTCAAATTGGCTGGAAGTGACAAGCATGTTCTCACATGCATTTTGTGATTTGACCAGATATTTAGATGTATAATTTGTTAACTGAAGGCTCATCTATGACTATGTCTCATAGGGCATGCATCATGTAAATTGTACTCCTATCTCAAGCAAGTCATCACTGCATGAGCATGAATACTGAGAGAGCACTACCACTGACATGGTAAGCATTTGCAATTGGCACATATAAACATGGGGGACATGCAGTGTTGGAAAACTTGACTTGTCCTGGTATAATAAATACCAGGATATTTTTACTCCAGGATTGTGATTAGGTAAAATGAAATATTTTGTATCCCATTGTGATGCAACAAGAACAGCTTTTGGGAAAACTCATTTTACCTCTTTGTGTGGGGACAAAATAAAACCAGAAGGTGCAACAGCTTGAGACTTGCTGCTTCCATCAGGAGCCATGTATTGATATCTGCAAGGGCACAAATCTTGCACCCACCAGACTAATATGTCCAATAGCAAGCAGCCTGTGTTGCCACCTAGGTATATGATAAACCGAGTATGGAAATGTGAAAAATAAAGGGTGTGAATGTTGAATGGAATTGCCTTTGAGCAATACTGGGAAATGAGAAAAAAAACACCCAGTATCTGAAATTTGTTATGGCTCTTGGGGGGAGAACACAAATATTAAAATTGTGGCTTGTAGTGAGAACAAAAAAAAAAACAAGTAAATTTGCACTGCATTTACATCTGGCACTAAAGGAGATCCTTTGGCAGCACATGACAGTAAACACCATACTCTAGCTAGTATCAGTGATTGCCAAAGACCATTAGAAATTGGCTACTTGCAATTCTTAAATTTTCTAGCTTCCTAAGTAAGTGCCTTCTCCCTAATTCTATGCTTGCACCTACTGTATTTTTTAAGCTATGGAGCTGATAGAAAGTTGCTGATATTGATAATTATATCACTAAGGTACCAGTCCCAAGACAGGCTGATAGAAGCAGATGCCCAACATGTTGTGCACCAGTTACACCATTCCCCAGAGCACACCATGCCATGTTTATGACTGAAATGGCATGTAAGCCACAATATAAATAGGAGCATCTGGGGCATAGTAGTAACTGCAGCTACATTCTAGCCAAGGTACAATCTTTCTCACAGAGAGGAAAGACTCTGGGGCAATGTGATACCCACTTAGCCTTTTACTGACCTAGATGCACTTAATTTGGGAACAAGTGTGTAGTTCCCCATTTCATTGGATATGATTCTAGCCCCTCCCCAACTTTGAAAAGAAAAAAAACTTGGTCAAAATCAGGCAGAACATGGTTTACACCACTTGTTTAGCATCACATATTTCTCTGCTCACCCGCTTCACGAAGTTATGTGCAAAACTACACCACCTGCGACGTCAGGCTACCGCGTGATCGGGGCTCGGAAGCCAACGCAGCACGGGCGGGGGAATTATTTCCTCCTCACAGAGCAATCCAGTCGCATTTAGTTAACATCATTACATTTACTCACCTGCGTTTAGTCTGAAACAATACTTTTCTCAGTGTATGACACTGAACTAAGTCTATACACTGCCTCTACCTCCAACACCAAGCATTCCCCCCACCACCACTCCTCGCGCGGCTCTTCCAAAACAAGGTCGGTTGGCTACACAACTGGCGCGCACGCAATAGCAGTCTTAAACGACAGAGCCGCTGTAGGTTATTTATCGGTTTCGCCATCGCTTCTGGGATCTGTATGATTTCTTAAAAAAATATTGGCTTGCAAAACCCGGCTAAAATATAAGTTGGATCTCAAAAAATGTAAATAATCATATAAACACACCAGTAAAAGTTATGCTCCACGGAGAACAAGAAACCCTGCTTTAGCTTCATACTAAGACCTGATTCTGTGGCGACTCTCCGTAGATCCATACAAAAAATTCCATGTTTTTGTTTTACGACCCTTTTATGCATTTTCATCGCGTATTCAGCTCGGATTTCTTGGTGGGGAATATGCCTTCCCTCCAATGCTAAATCCTCCCCAATAGGCCGATACTCGCAGAACCGTGGTTTCCCGCGTGCCCAGGCGAATGTTTGGGATGGTGTTTTACGTCACCGTTATACGTTTTATACAGTACCGATTTTTGATAGTTTGAAATGCAACTTTGATAAGTGCTATATAATAAGAAAGAAAAATGATTTATTCATCAACATATGAGTAATTTATCCAGGCACTGAGCTGATTTGTGATAGGCTGAATGAATTGGGAGAATCGTGAGCTTGTTTTCGCTATCCACTCCATCATTCTTGACACATTTTCTTCCTTTTACGCTTCAGAACCTCCTAAGTATAGAATTTGGGGTCGAGCAACACCAGTCTGGAGTTTATCGCGACGGGTGCAGTTCGCGCCGCAGAGGGCGATGGTGGCATGGTGGCCAGTGGTCGGGGTGCTCATCTCTGGACTTTTCTATCCTGGGATGGAGTCCTGGGCACACCACTACCGCATCCAACGTACCTAATGCCTGATAAACGCGTAGCGGAGGAGTTCCGCCTCGAAATAGCCATAGCAGCCGGTGAGACGTGACAAATCCCAAATTGGTATTAGAGCCCGTTTCGGCAAACAAACCGCCGCCCGCCAAATTTGCAGACAATACTTCCGCTCAATCACTGTATACATGTGGGAATAATAATGTGCAATCGGTTGGACGCGGAGCTCGGACATACAGGCCAGCCCCGAGGCTGCCCAGCTCGACGGTCCGGCCGGCAACCACGCCTGCGGCGGGCCGGCGGACGAGGCAGCCCGGCCTCCAAAACATGAACGCATTCACGCGCGCGCCGCCCCTCGCCCAAGAACCGAACCACGCCACACACGAGGCCTGTTTGTGGGCAGCCCGTCCGTGGTCAAAACGCTGCCAGCTCAGCCGGGCACGTCGCCATCTTCGCGTCACAGCCCGAGGTCCCTGACTTGATTTTACTCGGTTCGCCGCGGAACACATCCCGGCGGACCGGACATCCGGACGTGTCGGACAGCTCGGGATCTCGCTCGTGCTGGACCGGAGCCGCCCCCCCCCCCCCTCCTCCCTCTTGACGGGCGCCTTAATAGAAGAGCCTCATGCCAGACAGGAACCAGCACCGGACAGGGTCCCTCTACTCGTTTTCTCTAGTGCCCAAATGCGTCGAACTGGGATCCCTGTGCTATTTATTGAACCCGCTACTCTTGGGACCTTCTTGAAACGACGAGTGGCCCCGCGTTGATCCAGGATTAACCATCCCGGTCAGGGAACGTTCGGCGTCAGAGAGGGGACCAATGTGTCATGTATAGTAATAGTAACCGATTGGAAACCTGAAAGGGGACGGAAAGGCTTTTCAGCCCCAATCCAGCAATGCATGGGGTCTCGAGTCTTGGCTGAAAACTCTTTTGGGACCCCTTGGGAGGAGCTCTTTTCGTAACCGTGAAGTTCAAAAATGACCATACTGGGTGACAAGAGCAAAAAATATTGCCAAATAAAAATATTGACGATACCGTAGCAGCGTCTAGCAGTCCAAGAAGCCCCCTCTGGTAAACTCGCGGACCCCCTCTGGCCGCCCAGTCGGGACAAGCGGTTAAGTCATGCATCAGATCTCACGCCAGGTAGTGGTCCAGAATCGGCCAAGACAAAGGGCAATTGTAGGTTAAGTCGATCCGATTTGTTATCGAAAATTAGCTTCAGTGCCTGTCCCCGTTCTCTAACGACAGTCTCATGGCAGGGCGATGCGAATACACCTTCAAAAATACTTATGTCTCAAAAACACTACCACGCGAAATGTTCACATGCGTCATATATGTTTTCGTGATTGACGATGACAAGTCACTGAAATGACTCTGTCGGTGAAAGTGACGGCATATTGTGCGATTTTCTGTTTGTTGTGAAGATTGTCTAGCCTCCAGAATATCTGGTTGAATTATGACCAGAGTGACATAGCGAGAGGGCTTTGGCACCCACAGATCGGAGTGCAAAAGTGTGGATTCATGTAATGTTGCGCTCAGGAAATATGTGGCTAGTAGTAATATCCCTTCTGCATGTGCGTTGTACGTATGCTTAAGTATCTATGCTCGCTGTATGTCTTAACCATCGCCCTGGTTCGCCATTTTGCATGACTCGGACTGATAGGGGGAGAGGAAGTTGATGTGACCCTCCCCGGCGTTCCCAAGCTCATAATGTTGAAGCTTGCCGAGAACAGCAGCATACTGTTCTGAACACGATCTCACGATTAGTACCAGTTTTTCATGTTGTTGACAGGTTAAATGTCGAATTTTACAGAAAACCGCACTTTAGAGCTTTGCTTTATAATTACAAGAACAAGCCTTGCGTGACACAGATCTTGAATCCGCGTGTCTTTTGTTCAATTCTGAGTACATTCTGTAGTGCAATTCTCTTGCCGTCGCCGCCTGAGCCAGCCATAGATCGCCGTCGAGTGCTCATCACAAACTGTCGCTGCTCCGAAACCAGAAAATCTAGGAACACGTTTTGGTATCGAAACACGTGCCATATGCACCGCCTATCATGGCGAAGGTTAAACGTCATGTTTTTGCAGCGTTGGGTATTGGCAAGGATTTTTCGTGACACGATATTCCTCATTTTACTTATAGCTGAAGCCATAGCGGGCAAAACAGGGAAAAACTGCTTGCTTCCTTCCATAATTTCTCGCTCCAAGCTTAACCTCACGCTGACCCCGTCCCAAAAGACCAAGTCTCTCGCAACGAGTTGTGCTCCGTCCGTGGGCTGGCGCCGAAAGGTTCCGATGCTCGCGAAACTTTCCCCGTCCGAAAAACGAGAACATCTTCTTTGACGCGCCAGACTGTTCGCACGCGCTTGGCAACATGCAGGTTAGCGTGAATGAAAATAGCGCGAACGATGAGATGATCTACTAAGGCAACCGATCGCTGTTATCGCGTAAGACGAACTGCGGCGATAGCTAAGCTCATCGCTACATCGTTCATCGAACATCAGCATCGCTAAGTTCTTCATCGTTTTGCAAAGTGTTTTATAATGGATGTAGGAGCACACAGTGCGCTTACGGCAAGCCCAGTGTGTGGGGCATGTTACAAATGCTCTTGAAACGGGAGATGCAAAAGTGTGGGCGTTGGGCGACAAACAGCCGATCGCATATAGGAACACCGAGACAAATGTCAGAACATCATGGTAATAGGGTGGCGGCAGGTTCTGCCATTTGATTTGATTTCCGCCATTTCAGGTGGAGGCAGGTTTTCTCTGATGTATGTCTCGGTCAAGATGACAGCATGCCGTGCATTTGTGTTTTTTCTCACATTTTTTTCTGGTCTCCGTAATATCATACCTAGCTGTGAACGGAGGTATAAAACGGGAGATATGTGTCAGCAGAATTAGAGTGCGAATGTGCGAATTTATATCATGCATTTCTTAGAAAGATGTGACTAGTGGTGTTTTGTATTGATGTAAATTAATGGATGTAAATTAACACGCGCTCGGGTGGGGGGTCAAATTGAACCCCCGAAGGTTTCTCCAGAATGGTTTCCGAATTGCGCGGCGTAACCCCACCAAATTTTGCCTTGCTGTAGACAATTTAATAGCGTATCGTTTTGCATCAAAAATTTAGATGAACATTGTAACGTCGCTGACCTATGGCAGGTCAAAGTCAGGCTATGATTTCAGCGAAGGCAATTTCTAAGAAATCCTTCAATCTGATCCAACAACGGAGTGTTACACGAAGCCATACATCTCTGAGATCCTTTCTTAGGAAACACAACAGTTTAAAGATCAAATTACATCGACCTAAGGTCAGGTATGAAGGTTACACCAAGGTCAAGACCAACCTGTTTTGTTACTCTACGGGCTTGCTGTATGAGATAGTTTCTGGTGTTCATTTCTAGTTTATTGATAGCGGGAGCCGCATTATACACATTCCATGGACTTCTTAGGGGTCAGAGTGGGTCATTAAGCTAAAATGACCCGAGTCAACGTTTTGTTTTAGGAACATACTGCCTAGCGTAATCTTTGTCACTTAGTCAAATGCGAAACTCAAAGCAATCTTGTATGATTTTGGTTACATTGACCTTCAAAATGTCAAACACGGTCTCTGACCTCGAATGATAATATGACCTTTTGCTTAGAAACGTTTATCTAGGTTCTGCGGCACCTTGGAGACCAGCCTGGAACTTGACCTTGTTTGGCCTTTCTGACCCGAAGGTCATAACCTAGGAAACTGAAACTTTGATTTAAGTGAGTTTACGTACAGGTCAACACACCCTGTAAATTTGGTGTCCCTAGCTTTCTTAGTTCCGGAGATGTCAGGGGGTGAGTCATATTGACCCTCCACCCCAGCGAAGGGTATCTAGCCGGCCACCCGGGCGCGTGTTAATGGTGCATGTGTTATGTCGTACGCATGTGTAAGTACCTACTTTCGCTGTCCTACACGTTATCTTATTGCTGCATTGGATATCGGCAATGATGTTTCATGAAAAGATGATCCTTGCTTTGCCAACAGTTGCAACCAAGTGAGGCAAGAATGTTTGCTTACTGTCATATTCACTTACTCCTTGTTTCATCTCACACTGAGCACGCCTCCGAAAACCAACTCCCACGCGACAAGTCGCGATCTGTCTGGGGTA